GTTAATGGTCGTAACTTATATTGACTAAATTCATATACCTGCACAGAAAAAAAAGTTCAAGAAAATATTTTTCTAATTATTTTCTTGAGCGAAAAAAAAAAATTTTTTTTGATACGAAATTTCACTTGTTCCAACAAAATTAGTTCTATTGCTTGAAAAATACGTATCTTGATCCAAGAAAATTTATTTAAGTCAAGAAAATCTTGTTTTGAGAAAATTCAGCCTCTTGCTCCAGAAAATTTAGTTCTTGATAGAAGTAAATTTTCTTGTTTTGAGAAAATTTCTCTCTTGCTCCCAAAAATTAAATATAAAGATAGAAGTAAATTTTCATTAATATTTTTATTTATTAACATGTCATATGGGAAGATCAAATAATATTTCAACATTTTTTTTCATTCAATATGTATAATTGCATGCTAAAATATATTTTATATTTATAAAATTATAATTTAAAATGGGTATCAAATATTCAAGAGAAAAATTTTCTCAAGGTGAGAAAATTTTTTTCTCAGCTGAAGTAGCTGGCGCTACTTCCCTAAAGTATCTAAAAATCTTGATCAAATATAAAAATTTATTGTATCAAGTCGGCTGCCCAATTTCAAAACACAGTAACTAACATTTCAAAATTTTTTCCAATTTTTCTTATTAAAAAAAAGTTTACCAAAAATATAAATATTTTTAAGAAAAAATACTTGAAATTAAAGCCTATAAGTTATAAAAAATACAGCAATACTAAAAAAAAATCAGATATAAAAATTTTGCAGTTATTGTGTTTTAAAATTGGGCAGCCGAAGTATTTATGATAATTTGCATTAAAAAAAAATGACTTCCACCAAGAATAGAATTTCTCGAAAAATTTTTACTTCGGCCAACACAACCGCTCTTTCCTCAAGCACCCGAAAATTTTCTTGAGCCAAGAATTTTGTTCTCCAGTCAAAAAATTTTTCTTTCTGTGTGGGATTAAAATTTCGAAGAAAAATTATTTAGAAACTTTTCCCAAGATATGCAACACATCAACCTGTGAATATCTCTCTTAACTTTAAAGACTTTTTTCCGTCTAGAATTCTTGCTAAAGTTTCTTCTGTCCATAATTTGTTTTAAATAATTATTTTTCTTCTAAAATTCCATTAGATCCTCTTGATTTTTCGCCTACAAGGATAATATTTATATATTAGTTTAAATACAATTTTTCAAATTAATATTACTATTAGCATACCAAATTTTTATTGTTATCTAGTAAGCCAAGAATTTTGTTCTCCAGTCAAGAAATTTTTCTTTCTGTGTACTAAATTATCAATGTGACAAATTTAAAGGCCCAAAGTCATAGTTAAGAAGAGTATAAAATAATTAAGTCATGTTGATTTAAAAAAAGATACGAATGGAAGGTGAAGACGAAAAAGAAAGAAAAGGCTCAGCTGACCGGCAGAACCCGAGATTCCTTGAATTTAAAGGGCCAGGTATAGCTATTATAAGTATGCCAATTGCAAGAACTAATCCCCAAGATTTCAGGCATTACATCTTGAATATAGAAGACTTATTATTATTGCTACGCAAATAAAAAGTAAGTGATAAGTCACTGTTTTTTGAGGATGCGGGTAACTTATCGTGTACCTCCATTGAGTCGCTTTGCGCACGCTTACATTCTTTATTATCTTTAATATAATACTACCATAATATAAAATAGACGCAATAAGCGCAACCAGCTGCCACATAACATGTCTTGAAACATAACTTACGATTGATGATCGACTATTGCCTTCAACATAGAAAGAGCAAGTAATGCAAGAAAAAGAGGAAAAGAAAGAGAAAGAAAGAGTCAAAGACAGCTGTCGAGTCACGCACCTGCTCATAAAATGTCTTACCATCGATATCAGGAGTAGAGTCTATGTCTGTTCTGTAACAAATTATCAGCGTACAGTAATAAACTAACATTACCACTTGCTAACTTAGAAATGATTTAATTTACCTAAATTCAAAGTCGGACTCTACAAAAAGAAGTATGACAAACCATATTTTTAAATATCATTTCAATTTAATTAAATCATTACATCAGATAGTGTAATATAGTAATAAAGATGAATAGCGACATTATCAAGGTTTTATAATTCAAGGATATGAAGGCCGTTAGAATGACTATTTAAATAAATTTAAATTTCGTCGAAAAAATTCACAGATATATGCATAACATTTTTCTGTATGCTGAATAATTGAAATATATTTTTATAGCTAGATAAAGCGTGAATTAAAAATAAAAATCACTACTTTATATTTAAAATAAAAAAGGATTTTGTGTTACTAGGGGACAGAAGAGAAGCGAGTGGTTTTGCCAATCAATATGTGGATTTTATACACATACACGCTTTACTCAGGATATAGGTATATGCATTTGGAATCGTTGTGGTGTACACATAGACTTACAAGTTAGCGAAATAACGCTCATAATACTTGTCTCGCCCCCTGCACAGACAGCTGTGCCTGGCAGTACAACCCCTAGTATTTCTTTCGTTTCTCGCTAGCCTTGTCTCGTTTGGGGGAGGCTAATAACAATGACTATGGGACACTGAAAGTGCACATGCCATAAGCATATGCTCCTGTGAGCGTGCGAGCTCTTTTATACAGATGGTTCGATAAGTAATAAAAATAGACGAAGAGCCAAAAATATAAAGATACACAATGTGTTATCATATCTATTTTTTTTTATTTATTTATTTAGAAAACGTCAATCGGCAGTATACATCCACACTGAGAGACAATTTTATTTAATAGTAATTAAATTTTATTGCTATTTAATAAAACATTTACTTGGCTAATCTCAAATAAAAATTTATTAAATATTAATATGATTTTCTTAAATACTAACATATGATTTATTAAATGCTAATAAAATTTTATTAAATACTAATAAATTTTTCTTAGTTTGTAAAAGATATTGTCTGTCATAAATAAAAGACAACATAAATAGATTAGGGTAGGATGTCTCGTTGAAAAATCTTAATATTATTTATTAAAAGATATTACTGTGAAAATATATTTGACCATATTATAATTGATACAAATTTATGTTATGTTATGAAACATAAATTATGTATTGTAATTAAGCACATTTAACTTTTATATGTTAATAAATTAAATTGATCAATATTAATTTTTTTTTTGAGATTATTTGCATACTGTCAAATTTTTGGAACAATTACAAACTACGCGTATTAATGACAACAAACAAAAGCGACGCTCGTGGTTATTTTAATAAACACATATTAGTATTTAAAAAAATCCTAATATAAAATTGAGATGAAATGTATGTGGCATCAAACTATTCGTAACGTGATTGGTCAAATATATCATAAGCATGAAAATATATGCAAACTCTATAGTCAAGGCGCGCGCTTGCGCGCGTAAATTCAAATTCTAGTTTTATTAAATGGCAATAAAATTTTATTTATATGAAATACAATTTTATTAATATTAACTAAGTTTTTTTTTTCAAGTCCAAATAAACTTTTTTATTACTATTAAATAAAATTGTCTCTTAGTAATCTCATGCATGAGATTACAATAAAAAAAAAAAGAAAATATATAAATTATAATTTCGAGAGAAACGAAGGAAATAACAATTTCAAATTTTAAAAATTTGTCAAAAATACTACAGTTTATCCGGTGAGATTTATCAGGATACTAAAAAAAAAAATAGAAAAAGGACAGATGATTAATTAATTTAATTAATTTGATTAATTTGACCCCAAAAGCAGCTTCTTGGTCCTGTTTATGAAGATCCATAAGTACCACCGTAGAAACTTAGGTCATGATGCAAAGCACTCAAGAGGCAAGCTATTTTTTTTGGATATTATCCGAAATCTTATGATTAAATAATTCATAAAAAAAATTATTTTTTATAGTTAAAATTTAACTTAACATAATGCATTTATTTATAATTATCCTATCATGTCGAAGATATAAATTTACTGTTGTAATATGAATGTTAATGATACTACATACATTATAAAACTCGTTTTTACTATTTGTATACACGTATTATATGTATGTATTGCGTCATAAATTTCTCAGGTTAAATTATTGATTAAGGATAACTTAGACGATTTTATCTTTTTAATTGAAGCAATTTATGCTTTATTATATCACTTGTTATGTAATTGTTTTGCTTGTTTAGTAAGTAAATATTTAAGAGTAAAAAAATATTAAATTTCAAATATTTAAATTGTAATTTATCATAAAAAGAATAATTTATATGTATGCTTGAAAGTTAGTAGAACAATGAGATTAAATTGTATATGTATGAATGCAACTGTTTATTATTATAGGGGAATTTAAAGTGAATTAAGAATAGAAAATTTACAATTTTTTTTTTTTTTTTTTTTTAGTAATTTTGAGAAAACTATCGTGAGAACATACGCATGAATGATTAAAGTTATTTATAACTTTAAATAATAAAATCCAGAAAAATATTCTCAAGTAATAAATTAAGTTCTATTAAGCACTATGAAGATATTTATATTTATTGTTCTTAATCAAACAGAGTTGCTGTATATCATTGATATTATTATGATACTTTAATACATATGTGCATTAGTGTGTTCTTTATTGATAAAAAAAATTGTTTTTTTTTTTTTTTCTGGGCAAATATTTAAATAGTTATATAATAAAAAGATTAAAGTTTATATAGATTTATGTATAACAGTTTTTGTGAATGAATTCTGGTACGGAACAAAGCTATTCAGGAAGGTGTTCACTGACTGAAACATATTAGATATATAATAAGCCTTAAAGATGGTAATTTAGTAAGTGACACTTGGATAATTTTATTTAGGAAGTGATAGAGTAAAGGAACCGGGAAGGAAGTTGACGAGGTATAGTCTGCATTACTAGACAGGAAATTAATTAAACTGTAAGGCTACATACGTTTGTGAGTGAACTTCTGGACAGGATGTGGTTTTTGTATCCGGGGATTTTTAGGGCTAGAATGAAACCAGTCAAGAAAAATAATGTCAGGCGAGAAGTAGACTAAAAAGACAAAAAATTAAAGATGCTCGTATGATCCGATTACAAAAAAAAAATTGTAACGATTAACAGGAAGGATGTTTACCGAACCGTGCGCTTTTAACTAGGAAATAACGATTTTTGTTTACTTATTTTTTAAGTTTCTAGACAATTTATTTTTAATATAATGATACTAATTTTTTTTTTTTATTTCAGCTCGAGATCAGGCTACGATTCGAGTAGTGGAGATGAATCTGAAAATGATTACCAAATCGCTTCTTACTCAAATTCACACTCTGTAAATCCGACATCTTCGTCGACAGCATCGACGACAACGAGTACAAGTAATGTGCAAGGAAAACATATTAACAAAGGTCGTTGGACCAAAGAAGAGGTAAAGTTTAATTTTATTATTTTGTTCTTAATTTAATTGATTTATTTATTTATTTATTTATCTGATAAGGAATTCTATCGAGATGTAAAAACACCTGTATATACACTGAAAAAAAAAAATTAACTTGAATCAAGAGAAAAATTCTTGAACCAAGAAATTAATTTTGAAGAGCTTTATTGTCTTCAATCAAGAAAGAAAATTCTTGAATTAAGTCAAATTTACTCAGACCAAGAAAAATTTCTTAGTTTAAGAATTTTTTTTACTCAAATCAAGAAGATGAAATTCTTCAAAATTATTTACTTGATTCAAGTTAAATTTTTTTCAGTGTAAAATCAGTATAAAAAATAACAGTTTTATAATACATAGATTTTTTTTACAAAATTTATGTCGATAATACAATGCAAAGAGATAATAAGTACAAAAAGTAATAAATTTTTAGAGAAAGAAATATTAACCATTAAGGTTTCTTATTCAGTAACTTAACTTTTTTTTTTTAACAATTTTTTATTACAATCTATTATAGTTTTTATATCAGTAGAGAGTTTGTTATAATATTTAATTGCTACATAATAAGCATTCTGTGTACTAATAGTTTTATTAATTTTTGATAAGTAGATATTGGTTAATAAAATTTTTTTTTATTAATAATATTTTGATATGCTTGTTGATAACTGCGGAACATTAGTTTGATACAAACCTAAATTATGGGTCAGTTTGAACTTGTATGTAACTTCAATATAATGACAATAATTTTGACGGCTTATATTACAATCTCTGACGACCTAACAATGAATCAAAAGAATAGTTAGGGATGATCCTGTTGTTACCTGTCCTTTTTTCTCACTAGCACGCGCGATCAAAACTATAGAGTACAATTCAATGTATGAGGTTTCTCATGGGAAAGTTAGCGGCCCTCTATCCCACGTGCTTTTATTTTATGTAAACTCTGAATATACTTCACATAATTTTACCCTGATTTCTGGGAATTTTGGATGATATTGAAAAAAAAATGAAAAACTTTTGTATCAAATTTATTGAATTAATTCCAATAAATAACTGTAACATTTTTTTTTTAATTTATTTATTTAAATAAACAAACTCAACAACTTGAGCCATTAACAGGATTAATAATTATAATTACAATAGTTAATACATAAAAAAAATTTATAATGTATACGAATATGAATTTGTAAATAGTACAGTAATTTAATACGGCTGCCCAATTTTAAAACACAGTAACTGCAAAATTTTTATAACTAATTTTTTAAAAAATTTTTAGACCTTAATTTCGAGTATTTTTTTTTTTTAATATTTATATTCAAGTATTTTGTATTCATAAATTAAATTTTTCATCAATTTGGCAGGCAAACCTTTTAGTTAGTTACTGTGTTTTGAAATTAAGCAGCCGAATAGTTAGATTGCTAATTGAATAGACTATTAATGTGTTAACAATTGCAACCCAAGAAAATAATAGTAATTAATAAAAATAAAAAATTTATTTATTATTATATGTAATAAAACTTATCTCATAAAATAAAATGACTCACAATTAATAAAATTTAATATTAGATAAATAATTATTATTTTTTTTTTTTTGAACATAGGATGTCTTACTAAAACAGTTAGTAAGTAATTCAGAAAAACTGGGCAAAGGTATCAGATGGGATGATATTGCTTCACATTTCCAAGAGAGGAGTGACGTTCAATGCCAGCAACGTTGGGCTAAAGTTGTTAATCCAGAGCTCGTTAAAGGTCCATGGACTAAAGAGGTAAAAAAATTTTCCATAACTCAAAATATAATTAAAAAAAAATTAAGAAAAATAATATTAAATTTGCTCTGCAATAATACAATTTAAAAATTCAATTTCAAGTCTTTGTAAGAACATTACAATAGCGAGACGAAGTTCTTAAAGTTGTACAATAACAAAGAATATTTTTTTAATTTTATATACATTAATAATTTGGTAAGGGCTTTAATCTTCTAATTCTTTTTTTTTTTTTCAAGCAGATTCACTTTAGTCGGACTTTAGCTATAATGAGATGTTCCACGGTATATAATACCAGCAGAACCGGTTTTTTGTTTGAAAATTTTCCGATTGTAAAGAGAAGGATACAGGGCAAGAATTCGCGGGTCTCTTTTGAATACACGTGGACGTGCTTATTATTTACAATAGTCTCTAGCGTCTTTCCTGGTTGCGCAATCATTTTAAAGAATCATTCATTGAGTTGATATTCATGGTGTTAGCCCAAAAGAATTTTAAGATGATTAGAAACCATAGAGTCACTCATCTTTGACCCTGTTTACATCATTAACATTTTTTTGTTCAAACGTGTCATTTATCATTTTTTTTTCTTTAAATTTTTTTATCATTTATTCTTTTGTACAACTTGTTTCCACTACATATAATTTGGAACAAGAAAGTAATATTATAATTTAAAAAAAAAATAACATTTTTTAAGATTATAATTATTTTTTAAATTTTTTTTAGTCAATTGGCTATCTAGTCTAAAGCAACAATTTTTTCTCCAATTTTTATTTAATATTGTTAGCCTGTAAATAAATTTCTTCCTTTTCTCTAAAATATTATTCAGACTATAGCAAAATATGTTGAATAAAGTATTGTTAGTTCTGCATTGGAGTTGCTTTGGTGCCAATGCACTCAGCAACAGTCAAGGGCATACGTATTACACTGTTGATGTTTGCGTGGGGCCTAACACTCCCGCTTTGGTTGCCCGCTCTCCATTCTGCTGCTAAGATGCCTTCAGAGATGCTCGTTTATATCCATGTAACTTGGTTTTCTTTTATCTTTTTTATTTATTTTATTTTTCTTTGTCAAGTAGTTGCCCTGCCCTGCATTGCCTTACCTTGAGGCTTTAAGCAGTCGCATTGAAAGAATATTCTGCGAAATTTTAACTTACACTAAAGCTGGATACTGGTACGGAATTCTGTCTGCACCGGTATTTTATAAACTTTTTTTTTTCTTTTATTTTACTGTGAGACATACATAAGGTCGAAATGCAATTCGCAAAAAATTTTTAAAGAGTATCAAGATGATCCATTTAATTTAAAGTGTATTTAATTTAAAACTTTTTTTTTTTTCTTCGAATGCCTTCAGGAGGACGAGAAAGTTGTGGAACTTGTGGAACGTTATGGCCCGAAAAAGTGGACACTTATTGCAAGACATCTGAAAGGTAGAATAGGGAAGCAATGCAGAGAAAGATGGCACAACCATTTAAATCCAGGTATCAAGAAGACAGCATGGACTGATGCTGAAGATAAAATAATTGTTGAAGCACACCGACGTGTTGGTAATCAGTGGGCCAAAATAGCTAAACTATTACCTGGTCGAACTGACAATGCTATTAAAAATCACTGGAATAGTACAATGCGACGAAAGTATGAGGCAGAGGAAGGAAAAGTTACTGGAACGAGAGGTAAAAAATTATGATTAACTTTTAACTAGCAACCTTGCAGTCACTATGTGACTGCAGTGACTTGTGAACTATAAATAAATAAAATTTTGATTTATTAAACAATGACTTTTGTTAAATTACACTGTATTTTCTTAACTATTGACGTTTTTAAAGAAATAAGCTCATCCTGATGTTACACTTATCAAGAGCTTTCATTTGAGTACCCACATGACATTTTTTATATATTTTATATATATGGTATTTGTGAAATATATAAATATATAAAATATATGAAAAATTGATGTGGGTACTCAAATGAAAGGTCTCGATGAGTGTAACATCGGGATGAGCTTATATCTTTAATAATGTCAATAATTAAGAAATGACTTTGTATCTTGTCAACTATTGACATTTTTAAAGATATAAGCTCATCCCGATGTTACACTCATTAAGAGCTTTCATTTGAGTACCCACATGCATTTTGATATATTTTTCATATATACATGTATATAAAATATATGAAAAATTGATGTGGGTACTCAAATGAAAAGTCTCGATGAGTGTAACGTCGGGATGAGCTTATATCTTTAAAAATGTAAATAATTCACAAGATACAAGGTCATTTCTCAAAAAACCAATTTTATCAAGATATAAGCTCATCTTGATGTTACACTCATTAAGAGCTTTCATTTGAGTACCCACATGACATTTTTTATATATTTTATATATATGGTATTTGTGAAATATATAAATATATAAAATATATAGAAAAATTGATGTGGGTACTCAAATGAAAGGTCTCGATGAGTCGGGATGAGCTTATATCTTTAATAATGTCAATAATTTAAGAAATGACTTTGTATCTTGTCAACTATTGACATTTTTTAAAGATATAAGCTCATCCCGATGTTACACTCATTAAGAGCTTTCATTTGAGTACCCACATGCATTTTGATATATTTTTCATATATACATGTATATAAAATATATGAAAAATTGATGTGGGTACTCAAATGAAAAGTCTCGATGAGTGTAACGTCGGGATGAGCTTATATCTTTAAAAATGTAAATAATTCACAAGATACAAGGTCATTTCTCAAAAAACCAATTTTATCATGACTATCCTAGACACAAAATTTTTCTTATCCTCTTAATAACATAGATTATTATAAAAATAAAAAATTTTTAATAATATAAATTTTTACTAATTTAAATACTTTATTTTATTCAGGTCGTGGCAGAAGAAAAACAATAGAAAATTCTCTGAACATTAAAAAGGAACCACGAGTTATGCATGATGAATCATCGTGTCCGGATAATTTATTCAAAGACGAAAATAGCCGGACGGCGACAATAACATCCCAAAGCCTTGATATGAGTTCACTAGATTGGTCTAGTGGTTGGGGACAAACACATCATTCACAAGTGCAACAACAATCCCATCAACCGTCACTTTATCATCAGAATGTAATATCTATTGAGGATTCATCTCAATTAAGGCTAGAAGCTAGAATGAAACGTGAACCCTCACCCTTTTCAAAGTATTTCAATTTAGAAATGGGCACAGAGGCAAGTGGCTCTGGAACATCAGACATACGTTTAGTACCTATGCCTGATTTTGAAGATGAAGATGACCGTAAAACAAGTCCTCCGCCTATTTTACGGCGACGTCGTCAACCGCAATACAGTACGGTGCGTATTGAAACGATAAATGACAGTGGAAATCAGTCGGTTGATTATTTATTAAATCAGCAATCATCATCACAAGTTAACACTGCTCCATCGACGCCTATTAAACAGCTTCCGTTCAGTCCTTCGCAGTTTCTTAATAGCCTGGCTAGTCCAGAGACTTCTTGGCCACGTGCTAGTACTCCTAAAGGCAGTCCTGGTACACTTACAACACCACAGCCTTCAGGCTTACGCAGAAATCAAGGAGATGGAAACACACCACGTACTCCAACACCTTTCAAAGACGCACTTGCTGAGATAGAACGACGAAGTGGAGCTACTACTCAGTTACCGGCAACGCCTAGTCGTCTTGATGCATTGACAGAGATAATACGCCAGGAAACAGATCGTGAAAGTCTGGCCAGTAGCAGCATGCTTCAAGACTCTGGCTACGGTACTGGTCGACGACGTGGAAAAGAAAACAGCGCACCGGGTGGAAAACGTGCACGTAAAGCTTTGTGTCAAGCTTGGGCTAGTAGCACGCAAGACCACTCGGATATGAATTTTGCTGTCGAGACGCCGGTTAGTTTTATTTTATTTTTTATTATATATAGAATTTATAATATTATTCGTAAGGTAAAGTATCTAGTAGTTGAACAGGTTTTAAAGTTAAATGTATTTGACCCTACTTTTAAGTAGGTCGAAAAAAAAGGTGATTTTCGGGAATTTTTTTGACAGGGAAAATAAAGGAATGTAGGGATCCGATTTTTTATATTTTATTAAGGGTACATTAAAGATTATTACCCTGAATTTTTATTAAAAAATATTTAATTATTACAAAGTTATTAACAATCTCGTAGAGCACTAGAAAAAATTTCCCCCTCAATGGTCGCATCGATAACTCAAAAACGGATCAAGCGACTGATTGAAAATTTTGTCATTATTTTTACTGTTTTTTTTTAACCCGGCTAAAAAAATCTTTAAAATCAATATTTTTAAAGATGCAAGCTCATCCTGATGTTACACTCATCAAGAGCTTTCATTTGAACACCCACATCAATTTTTCATATATTTTTCATATATACATATATAATATATATAAATATATGAAAAATTGATGTGCGTACTCAAATGAAAGGTCTTGATGAGTGTAACATCGGGATGAGCTTATATCTTTAAAAATGTCAATAGTTGACAAGATACAAGCTAATTTCTTAATTATGTTAAATCACACTGTACTTTCTTAAATATTGACGCCTTTTCCCCTTCCCCTTGTGTGGTGTTCCCCCTTAAGTTAAAAATATAATTGTTTTGATTTATAATTAAAAAAACTTACAGAAATCAATTACTGTATCATTAAATAATTATATGCGCATATTACTCATAATAAATTTACGAATTTTGTATTCCAACAATTCGAAAATTCTGTTCAAGTACTGGATACTTTACCTTATTAAAAAAATAAAAAAATATTTTAATTTTAATTTTTATTTACAGAGCAAGAGCTTAGATACATCAGTTTTATTTTCACCGGCGTCAATGGCCCTAGAAGACAGCTTTTTAGCGGCAGGACCGAGTCCGTTGAAGGTAGAGCACCAATCCCAAAGTCAAATCCAAAGTCAACCTGCCTTATCCTGGTTTTACTCTCGCACCAACCGCCTGTAGACACGCTAGCCGGCCTTATTTATTTTCTTTCATTATTATTAACTATTTCATAACTTTTGTGTTTCCTATTATTTTAACATTTTCTCTATAGTCTTTTTCTTCGTTAAATTTACTAACATACTCTTCCTCTTCTCCTTTTTTTTTTTTTTTCAAAATTTAACATCATCCACCACAAGCTCTTGTGCTCTAATATAAAGCATTTACTTAATACGAGGGTTTTTGGACTAATTTTATAAATACGAAAAAAAAAAAAATTTTTTTGTTACGCACGTACATTATTACGTTACGCGAATAAATCCTATCCCCCTTCCTCCAAAGATTTTTTTTTCTATCGTGCTTATGTATATATATTTATGTATGAAAACGAAAAAAATCCCCCGAGATTATTCCCAGAATTTATTAATTAGTATTAAAACATGTTAAAAAAAATTTAGTTATCAATTAGTTTTTCTGTTAATTATATTTATAGAGGCGCGAGATTTAATTTATTAAAATTAATTTAAATTAATTCGGTAATTATTCGGTTTAATATATCGGACTTATTTATTTTTTGTCTTAATACTTAATTTATTATTATTATTATTATTATTTAAATAAATACATCACTTCAATTTATTTAACAATCATGGCATAAATTATCAAGCTTTAGTGAATGATGTATTTAAAATTAGTAATAACGTTTTATTGTTTTTTTTTTATTAATTATTTTAATATTTATATATTTTTTAAAAGTGTTTTTTTTTTTTTTTTTCGTTACGTTGGGTTGCCGCATGTCTGCACTAACTCAAAGCGAATAATTCCTTTGTCAAAAAAAAAAAAAAAAAAAAAAAAAGTTACAGGCCTGGCCTAGCGTACCAAAGTACCTTGATTGTAATTCCCACCTTTACCTGTAAACCTGACCTACCTCGTCAAGACGCTCTTTCAAAGATCGCAAATGTACGAGCACCCCCAAAGATATTATTGAGCAACGGCTCAGTAGCCGCAGCGGCCTCGGCAAGATATTTTCTAAGAATTTGCACCCATACCAAATACAGAGGCTCGCCTAGTCATCGCAGCAAACAATTTTACAAAAACTACTATTTTTAAAATTCTTTTTTTCTGTCTATTTTACTTGAAGTACAAAAAAATGAAAAAACTCAAATTTAAATAATCTTACTTCTGGTCTTTTTTTTTTCTGTAAATATATGTATTTTTTTTTTTCTGTAAAAAAAATATATATATATGTAAATAAATATATGCATATACAGAAATGTATATGTGTGTAATTTGAAAACTTTAAGTTACAAAAAATATATTGTTATAACTATCACATTTACAACTCTTAAAACTTGCCGGCTGTAGCTAGTGTGTCTATCCTTTCCAGACTCCCCAAGACTTAATCCAGAGGAAGTCCACCGCCAAGAGGGCTATCACGTTTGACGTTTATGACAATCCAAGTATCAGTCCATTGCTTCTCAGACCTCATAAACGCCCAAAGGTCGGTTTATATTCCTGATCATTTATTGTACTAACTGCTTGTGTAAAAAAAAGTGACTTAACATTCTCGTTTGTTTAAGACAACACTGGATATGATCCCAGATTATATTGGGTAAAAAAAAATTTCAGATAGTAGCTAGTATAATCCAAATATCACGCAATTTAATCTGAAATTTTTCTTCACCATTATTATTATTATTATTATTAAAATAATAATAGATATCACTGAGTATAATCTGGGTTGATATCCAGTGTCATCTTGTTTTTTTCGTGAAGAATCTTTTAAGACGCAAAAAAAAAACTCCAAGAGCAAATTTTCAAAATTTGGTTCTCGAATTTGTTATAAAAATTAATTTTTAGACGGTTTTGCGAGTTTTTAACGACAACATTTTTGAGTACGCTCTTTTCAAATTAAATTTGAAATTTTTGAAAAATTATTAGCTGACGATTTTAAGACGCTCCATAATAATTTTCCAGAGCTCTGTTACTGTGAGCTCATCTTAAAAAAATCTCTCAATTTTTTTAAGACTATTTAAAAACACTATAATAATTTTTCGGAGCTCTGTCGTTGTGAGCTCATTTTAAAATAGTCTTGAAAAAATCTTAAAATATACTTAAGTTAAAAATATTTTCAAAGACTATTATGAGCCTTAAAATAAGTCTTAAAATTGTTTTATCAATTAGGCGCGCAATCTCTTTTTTAATAAAAAAAATGTTTTTTAATCTTAAAATTGTCAGTAACTATATTTTGAAATTAAGCAGCCGAACAAATTCGAGAACCAAATTTTAAAAATCTGCTCTCGGAATTTTTTTTCTTTGGCGTCTTAAAAAAGTCTTAAAACAGTCTTGGTTTGTGTCATGTTTAAGATCTTAAATAAACGACTTTTTTTTTTTACACGGGTGTACAAAAATAAATTTGAATATTTAAATTTATAATTTTTTTTTTTATTTAATTTGCAGTTACAATTGGAAGCACAGTGGACAATGGTTGCATGTGGACGAACTAACGATCAGATAGAGATGACACGTGCTGCACGCCAATTCCTTGATTCTCATGGATTGCCAGCTTTACGTCCGCGATCATTAAATTTTTAATAAAAAAAATTATAATATATATTGAAACTAGTCTGAGTAAACAACACGGAATAAATGTGTTGGCTCTTTTAAACTTTGGGGTCTACAAGCGTCACTTATGGCTGCTTTTCTGTTGTTTTTTATAGTACAGATAAGGAATAATTAAATAAAAATTAATTCAAATAGAAAACTAATGTTTTTATAGTCAATCAATTAATATTGAAGGGTTCATTATCTTCAATAAGTATTGTAAATTTGCCAATATAAATATACCTAATCATCTTAAGATTCAGCCTGAAAAATGTTACCTTCTTTCCATGTTATTCGATTATCTAAAAAAAATCCTTCTTGGACAAAATTTTTATCCAAAATACAAACTTTAGGACTCATAATAAATAAATCTATACCTGTTCAGCAATTTTTATCTTTTAAAAAGATTTTTCAATGCATCTTTATGAATGCTACTACAAATTATTGATGGTCCAGAAAATTAATTAAAAAAAAAAAAACATGATTATTAAATTTAACGAATATTAGTTTTTTAAAGAATGTAATAATAAGTATTAATATAATCACAAATTTAATATTTATTAATAATATTAAATAAAAAAAAACTCTAAATAAAAACTCGATTACAATATTTAATTTAATTTAAATTTTATAGAAAATAATTTCTACAATTAAAAAGTTATTGATTTTTTGTTATTCAAGTAAGTATTTTTTTTTAATCTAACAAGTTGAAATATTCACAAACTGAGAAGATTATCTACTGAAACAATTGATAATTTTTGTAACTAATAAATTTTCATACTAATTATTTTTCTTACGATGATTAATTATCTAATAAACTATCAACCTTGCAGTCACTATGTGACTGCCGTGACTAGTGAACTATAAATAAATAAAATTTTGCTTTATTAAATAATGATTTTTGTTAAATTGCACTGTACTTTTTTAATTATTGACGTTTTTAAAGATATAAGCTCATCCCGATGTTACACTCAACAAGAACTTTTATTTAAGTACCAACATCATTTTTTTTCATATATTTATATATGTATATATGTATATATGAAAAATATATGAAAATGCATGTGGGTACTCAAATGAAAGCTCTTAATGAGTGTAACATCATGATGAGCTTATATCTTTAATTAATTATTGGCATTTTTAAAGATATAAGCTCATCCCGATGTTACACTCATCAAAAGCTTTCATTTGAGTACCCACATGCAATTTTGATATATTTTTCATATATACATATATATATAATATATATAAATATATGAAAAATTGATGTGGGTACTCAAATGAAAGGTCTCGATGAGAGTAACATCGGAATGAGCTTATATCTTTAAAAATGCCAATAGTTCCCAAGATACAAGGTCATTTCTTAATTACGTATCTAGAGATAGAGCATTTTCGAATGCAGCTTAAATACTTGCTTATTATATTATATTCTGAGAATGTTATTTTAATATAGAGAATATATTAAAGTGACCGAGACATTTTTTCATGCTGTCCTAATAAACTAATAAGATACTCGGCGACACCACCGCAACTCACGAGTTGGCAAAGCACATGATTTTGCATAAAACTTAAACTTTCAAGACAACTGCTGAGGTAACTGAAGGCAAATCCCAACGTAGATTTTTATTAAACTATATTTATTCTCTATCACCATAAGTTGCTCCATCATCTAAGAAGGTATTTTTTTTTATAATATATAATATATTTACTAATATTAATTTTTATTGTAAGAAAGTTTGACAATGCACATCGGGTTTAGCTAATATTTTCTATCTAATTACTTCAAGATAAATTAATTAAAAAATCAAATTTCAAAAAAATATTTTTACAGAATTCAATAAAAAAAAATAACTTTAATTTTTTTTTTCCTGAAAAGAAGTTTATTTTTAATTAAAACAAACTAAAATTATTACATCAAAAAAAGTCCAAATTTTAAACACAATGTTATTTTCTAAACTTTTATGTTACAATGATTTCACTTGCATACGTTTATGCTGCTATTAAGTATTATTAATAATAATTGCAATTTGAAAAAAAAAATTTTTTGGAATGGCAATCATATATACTGGAATGATAAAATGGAATTACTTTTGTTCTAAATTTATCATTAAAAACCAATGATTATAAATGCAGCTTTTTATAAATACTTTGATCTTTTTTTTTTGCTGTTCATTAGCAAATCTATTGAAAACTTTAAACTTGTATTATAATAGTTAATAATATGCGAAAACAATGATTATAGCGTCAACAGAATAATAAATTGAAAATAGCATTGTTTGGTTGTTGTTTGCTCAAACATTTTCCTAAAATAATATTATTAAATATATTAATAAAGATTTGTAAAATGATAAAAAGTATTCACAAAATTAGCTAAGGTTTCACCGTTTAAATTTAAAATAATTAACGGGAAAAAAATCTCTAAATTATTTAGTTATCTCATGTGTAAGCTTATATGATTTTACTTTAAGCAATTTTAATAATAAAATCATTGAGCTTGGAATGTTTTATTGAGATCCGTTATCGGTAGATTGTTCTTGATCACCATCACCAGTACCGCTTCCACTAGCTCCATCAATGTTATCGGGATCTATTAGCAAGTAAGAAATAAAAATTAATTTTATAAAATCTTTTGATTAAATTATATTTAGAATAAAATTACAGTACCTGGACACGGTGATCCTTTGATTCTACATGTGTTATAGCTCCCACAGTTGAGACACTTTAATCCAACAACATGAAACTTGACAGTTGATTCCTGCGATAAAATTGGTTGAATAAATTTATATATGTACAAATAAAATCCCGAAAAAAAAAAGACTCGGAAAAAATTTTTAAGTTATGAAAAATTAATATTATTATAAAATGATAATAATAATAATAATAATAATAAACTTAAATATTTTTTCCGATTATCGTAAAAATAATAAGTTTAAAATTAAATTAATAGATAATTACTTCGTGACAGTCTTTACATAAAATTTCCGCTTTATAATCCTTATATTCTGGTGGCATTGGAGTAAGTGACACTTCAACATCCAAAAATCTCCAGAGATCTGTCATATCAAGAAGAGAAACTTGACAAGTAGGACAAGCATAATGCCCGGAGTGTAAAAGCTCCTCAAAGCAGGTACGATGGAGTAAATGCCCGCAATCAGGAATATGACAAGGTATACGACTCGTATGAATATCTTCTAAGCATACAGGACAATTGGCGTGTGAAACATTTTCCACGCACTGAAAATAAATAGATTACATATTTATTTATTCATTTATAAGTGACTAGCAATCTTGTAGTCACTATGTGACTTGTGAACGAGTTGTTGAATTGCACTGTATTTTCTTAACTATTGACGTTTTTGAAGATATAAGCTCATTCCGATGTTACATTCATCAAGAGCATTTCTGCATTTCTGATATATTTTTCATATATACATATATATATAATATATATAAATATATAAAAAATTGATGTGGGTACTCAAATGAAAGGTCTTGATGAGTGTAACATCAGGATGAGCTTGTATCTTTGAAAATATCAATAGTTCACGAGATACAAGGTCATTTTTTAATTATTGACATTTTTTAAGATATAAGCTCAAATATATAATATATATAAATATATGAAAAATTGATGTGGGTACTCAAATGAAAGGTCTCGATGAGTGTAATATCGGAATGAGCTTATATCTTAAAAAATGTCAATAGTTCTCAAGATACAGGGTAATTTCTCAATCATGTATCTAGAGATAGAGTATTTTCGAATGCAGCCTAAGTATTTATCATCATAATGGAGACAAAATTTTTCCCATTATCTTAATAATATAGATAATTGCTTGAGCAATCTATTTACCTTATGTCCATTTTGTAATTGTACAGGTAAACACATATTACATTTGGCGCAGTGAAAAAATCTATCTCTTCCTCCAACTCTGCAAATACCACATCCATCACAATGATATTGATTCTTATCTTCATCATCGAATAGATTACATTCTAAACACGTGTACTTGCCAAATCTACAATGGCAATTCTGACACGTGGCTTGTACAGGTTGACGAGTGTCACATAGTACGCATATTAATTCCGTAACTTCTTTACGATTAACCGTATGTGCCTCTTGTTCATCGTGACAAAATCGACAGGTGTACACTTTATTGCAGCACGGTGTCTAAAACAAAATTTCATTTTTAAAATTCATTTTCAAACCCACAGTTAATATAATTAACTAATTAAAAAACAAACAATAAAATCAACTAATTAAAAACAAATAATATAATAAATTAATTATAAATATTTACCACAAATTTTGATTTCCTTTTATAATGATCACAGCCATAGTGTTCTTCAGAATCATTGTCTTCTACGTCTGAATTTGTTGAAGTCTCAGCTTGTTTATTGTCATCAGTATCACCAGCACATACATTTGTCTTACTACTTTTCTCCATGATTTATTGTGATATATATGTATATATATATATATAAATTTTTCTTTCTTATTTTATTTGTCTTGTTCTATTTTTGTTGTTTTGTTTTTACTATTTGATTAAGACTATTTAAGCTGATGAATACAATTTTTTACTCGAAAATTGTTGGAAAGCTAAACGTCTACACCTTAACACGTATCAACAACAATTGCAGGAATTACTAAAAAAAAAAAATCATTAAAAATATTTAATGTCAATAACATTAAATTAATTACATATATTTAAAAAAAAAAAAATTCTATTGTAGACATAAACATACAAATATTAAATCCAATTAACTTTACCAATAGTATACCTTATTATATGTATTTTCCGTTAGTATACATTTATCTTATCCATCGAATGATCACAAACATTATTTTATAGATTTTGTTTTATTTATAATAATAATCTAATGAGACGGCAGCATGCAAACCAGTATGGCGTTCTACGGCGTAAAATAATTTATTCACCAGGATCTTAATGATAAATCCAATGGTATTTTTTGTATTTTATTTTGTTTTATATTAAACACAGACATCATGGCACTCACGATGCGTATTTCATGATTCTTTATGTGTTGAGAAAATTAAATATGAACAGAGACACACTGACTGACAACACATGCACGTTTTGAACAAGACTTTAGTTTTTAAGGCTTCAACATAATTACGGAAATAAATTTTTAAATAAATATCCTGATTGATTACTACAAATTAATAGTGAGCCAATCAATATTGACTTTTATAATTTATATTGTGAAGCGCCTTTAAATCTTCACTCTTTTTTCTACTCTGCTAGCACATCGTAGCATCAGTTTATTATTGACATCATTTTTATTTTATACTAGGTGGCGCAATTATCGAGAGAAGTTGATGACATTGAAGTTAGCAGTCACTTGACAATTTTTTAATTTATTTTAACTAATAAATTTGTTCTAAAAAATTATTTATAAAAAATTGCATTTTTAATTTTTTTTAATTTCTACATGTCAATTTTTTTTATCATAATTTATTTGTTAAAAAAAATAATCAAATGTCTGCTAAATTAATTTTCATAGAAGTTGCAGTTGTTAAAAGGTACTACACTATATCTTAAATAATAATGATAATATTTGCAAGATTAATTAACGGTTAATAATATTTATTCACTTATTTAATTACATAAAAAATGGTTCAAAAATTAGAATTAGTCAGATAACAATTGATATTAATAATCATAATACTCTCTATAATAATAATAAATTGTACAATCATGCCACATTTTATTTTTATATAAAATTTTTTTTTCTACACAGCTCATCAAAAAACGACCAATAGATCAACAAAAACTTTAGATCTTTTTTTTTTTTTTTTTTTAAATTTATTTAAGTCGCATCAACTACATAAGGTTATTAGTGACTACTATTTTATAAATACATGTGTAGTTTACTTAATTTCCAAGAATTTTATTTACAATAATAACATAAACTGATTATCATTATTGAAACTTGGGTTATATCTCTATTGTATTATCTTTAATTAGTTTTAAGATTTTGGGTATTGGCAGGGTGCGAAGTATATGGTGGGGAGGGCTGGCGCTGACTACCACTTTTACGTGTAAATCTTATGAGAAGAGCATGATTTAACGCTAATGGCGACCACTGGAACTAAATTACTCCGTTTGATTTAACACAGAAAAAGCATGAAAAATGAGGGCAGCACCATCGTGCACCTGGCCAATACAGTTGGGATCGTTGAGGCACTTCCGGATGTCACCTGGTATTCCTCTGGCACTTAGTTCCGCTTTGTTGCATTGGGTGATCATGTGAGCTACTGTTAGCCTGTCGTTGCAGCTCGGACATCTTTAGATCTTATTAATAATTATACAATAAAGACCAAAATATTTCAAAAAAAAAAATCCTTCAAGAAACGACGACTGCCCAATTTTAAAACACAGTAACTGCAAAATTTTTTTAAATATTGCTGCATTTTTTATAACTTTTAAACCTTAATTTCAAGTATTTTTTCTTATAAATATTTATATTCAAGTATGTTCTATTCATAAATCAAATTTTTCATCAATTTGGCAGGCAAACTTTTTTTTAATAAGAAAAATATTTATAAATTTCTAAATGTTAGTTACTGTGTTTTGAAATTGGGCAGCTGACGAGTCCTGACAACACCAGCTATTTTCACTAAAAAATAAAAATTAAATTAAGAAGTTTTTTTATTTACTTTATTTAGACTTAAGAAAAAAAAAAGTAAGATTGTTATCAATAATAACTAAACTTTAAACAAAAAAAAAAGCATCTAGTAAGGCGGGAGAATTTGAATGTGTTGGAGAGAGTGAGAAAGAAAACATCTGGCCGATGGCTGCGTGACCGAGGCGGCAGGATAGGACCGAGCTGCGTCCGCTGGTTTCTTTTTGCATTCTTCAAATGTCTTTGTCGGCCTCAGAATTGCGGGGTATTCCACTGCACTAATTCTGCATCAAAGGTATTCTAATGGCATCTAACTTATAGTTAGGAATAGTAAGAACTGAGGAACAGCATCTCTAGTTCTGACTATTACTAATTGGTGCGATAGTACTTTAGTAAAACATTTCTGATGTCAGTGATTCTATTTTCAATAGGTGCGATGGCGATGTTCCTTTTGAATCGTAATCCTGGCTCGTAATCGCGAAAATAAGGCTCAAAATTTCCAACCATATTAAAATTGTTATTGCAGCTATCAACCCATCCGGCGATAGCTTCTTCTTTTCTGGTATAGCATAAACCAGCAGCGTTTCTATTCCTTATTCTTTTGTAAGCAAATACGTCAGCGACGCTTGCTTCATAGGCTTCTAATGGAGTTGGAGACCAAATGACTATGGAACACGGAGAGAGATAATCATAATTTTGTAAAGCGAGGAGGCATTCTACAAAGCCAACGAGGTTGGCTGAACTCTTCAGAGGTAGAGTTGGTGTCGCTGTCTTAATTAAGTGCGATCTTGATCTGATAGCTGAGGATACTCTATCAAAAACCTCTGGAATCACCTGGGCTCTTTGAGCAATTTCGTTGCCTGCAAGTGGATCTCTCATGTTAGCTAGGGCGTTACATCCGCTAGCGTCTAGAGATTCTGGGCACCGATAACCTAATAGGTTTTTGTTTGGTTTGGCATTCATTGGAGCAAGGTCGAATGGTAAAGGTTGCCAGTCATGTGCTTGTTCGATTGTAGCAGTGATGAGTCCTCTTGAGATGTAGGGACTTGGATAACATTCATAGACGTTGTGAGAACTAACATCACAAACACCGAAAGTCCCGGCTGGTATTGCATCTTCTCCGTCGGAAGGAATTGCGATCTCTGGAATGTTTAGTTCAATGGATGAATCATCTTGCATCACAGTAGTGCCTAAAAGATCAAAATAGTCACAGATGATCTTTGGAAAAACCAGTCCATTAAGCCACTTTTAGGAATCTTGTAGGCCGATAATTCTGTCATCATATTTGTTGTCATTAATGACACCCAAGAGGACTAGATTTAAGGCAGAAACGCAAGCGTGTTGAAATAAACAGTAGGGCATTTCTCTTCTTATACTGTTGTCTTGCTTTCTAATGTCTTTGTAGACCCGTTCGACCAACAGAATGAAGCCACTAAAGTCAAAATTCTGACAGTGACGGTCTTGTATCACAGGATGTGTGCCAGCATGTAATCCATCTACCAAGAATAGTGGTTTGTCCATTGCAGCTGTTTTTTTTTTTGCTGCTTTAGCTTTTGGTTGTTGTGGCTTTTGTTGATGGCTGTTGATCTTTGTGTTATAGGGCGAACACAGAGCTGCTGCTCATGCTGAGAACTAAACGGTTTGCCATTTCTGCCAAGCTGTTAAGGTCGTTTAGGTTGGGTGATACCAGTATCGTTTCTTTGTTCGCAGGTGTTTGAAATATGTGCTTTTTAGGTTACCGGCGTCGGTTGCTGGTCGATGCTTTCGCACTGATTAATTCTTGCAAAAATAAATCACGTCCGGGTCACTAATGTGTAGTTGTTAAAAGGTACTACACCACTACACCATATCTTAAATAATAATGATGATATTTGCAAGATTAATTACATAAATTATGGTTAGCGTCTAATTAGATCACAATCGATATCAATAATCACAATAGTCTCTCCCAAGCGTCACATGAAAAACTGTTGACTTTTTGGTAAATTTTATTTAACAAGAAGTCAAAAATTAATAATTATCAACTTAAATTCAACAATATATTACCAAAAAAATTTTTGTGCCGCTTGGGCTATAATAACAAATATTGGGGTTGCAGTCAACTAGTCAGACTGACAACATTCCGAATTAATAAGTTACTAGAATTTAGAAAGTAAATATTAAATGTAATTTAAAATAATTAATTTTACAAATTTTAAAATTCCAAAAAATATAGTCTTAAATAAAGAAAATACTAAAGCTATATTAATAGAATCTTTCAAAGTCACAAAGTCTCAATAAGTTAAAAAACATAACAACGAAAATTTGTACGTCAAAATGAATGAACAGACGAACACTTATTTAGCCGAAAAATGTATATAATTTTATATTTAGATTAGAAATTTTTTTAAATTAATTATTTTAATTAATTTTAAATTAATTAATTTTGTAAAATGAATTTTATTTTAATTTACAAGCATGCATATAAAACACTCAAATTTCATGCTAGTAAAGGTGGACCATCTAAGAAAAATTTCCAATTTCTTGGATGAGTAATTTTCGGACAAATCATTATTCGTATAGATGAGTATTCGGATGAAGAATATACGTCGGAACGAACCTTTTTCGAAATCAAATTAATTTTAACTCTTGAGGAATATAAAACTTATATTTACTTATATTCGATAACTCGGTGTTTTATTTTATTTAAGCTAATGTATTTTATAAACTTTGAATGCAGCGGAATTTTAAATTTTCTAGAGTTTTAATAATTCGGAATGTTGTCAATCTGACTGGTTGACCGCAACCCAAATATTGGACAATCAAATATTGGCCACAGCTACGGCGTCTAGAAAGGCGGGAGAATTTGATGACATTCAAGTTAGCTGTCACTTAATAATTTTTTAATTTTATTTAACAAAAAAATTTGTTCCAAAAAATTATTTTCGAAAAATTGCACTTTTTATTTTTTTAAATTTCTAAATGTCAATTTTTTTTGCCGTAATTTATTTGTTATAAAATTTTAAAAATTATTAAATATGTGCTACATTAATTTTCATGAGAATTTGAGTGTGAGCAAGATTTATGTGTTGGAGAGAGTGAGAAATAAGTAAAGTAAAAAAACAAATTAAATAAGTAAAGCTGTCATGGTTGAATAACTTTTGATTTTGAAAAAAATTGATTTTTTATGACTGTCAATCTAGCAGACATTAAATAATTATTATAATTAAAAAAAAATTAATTATTTATTATAATCAAAATTTATATTTATAAAGTCAAATAAATAAAAAAATCTCAAAGTGCATTTGTTCAAATTTGAATTTTTTTAATTATTAATTCATTTTTTTACTATTAAAAAAATATTTCATCTAAATTCATATTCATTTTTTTTCTTAAAAAATACAGAAAAAAAATTTTTTTTTTATTTTGAAGAATTTTTTAAAACTGTTTCACCAATTATTGTTTTAATTTATATAATTATTTATTTCAATTTACTGCTGATGAGTTACAAAACAAAATATTTAAATAATTATAGTATATACGGAAGTGAGGATTTTTCTCCTCTTCCAGGATAAGATGATATACTTAACTATAGCAGCGTGAAGAAAGTTATCTAGAAGAAAAATACTTAAAAAAAGATTATAGCAATACAATTCAGTAGTTGAAATTTGTATCAGAAATTCTTAATCAAATTTAATAATCACTTTGGAAAATACAATTTAATTATCAATACTATTATACTAATAAAGCGTTCATATTTAACTTTAAATGGGAAGAAGTTTAATAGTTTAAAAAAAATATATAAATTCTAATTATTTGGAAAATAATTTAATTTTCTAAAAGCAAATATTTATGAAGTACTGTTATGTGAATATATACTTGATACGACCTTGATATTGCAGTGATATTTGTTACTGTAAAATTAAAAAAAAAATAAATTGAAAGTTTAATAAGATATATTTATAGTTAAAATATTAAGAGTATCGATTCCCATTCCAGTGCTTTATTTAAATATACTATGATACACTCTCTATTAAAAAAAAAAGTAAAAAAAAAAAACTGAATAGATTAGCATCTAATCAGGTGATTTTAAGTAGCCAAGGAGGTAGAAACAAGTCTTTATCGGACCAATGATAAGTATGGATAGTCAACGAAGAAAGTGTGCCAGTCACATTTACTTTCTCCACAACAAATTATTAAGATTTTTTTAAAAACCTACTCAGTTGTTCTGTGATTCTCGAGTAATAAGAATTAAATATTCAACAATGAGTAGTTTACCAAAATATAAACTTTTAGATAAAGAAAAAACAAAGGAGATGTTAGAAAAATTCACCGGTGAACGAACTGGTTGGGTTCAAGTTGGTGAAAAAAAATGGTTTTTTCCGCACCGTTATATTGAACAGCAAGAGGGTTTTTATAATTTCAAAGCTAGACTGGATGATACCTGGGTAATTACCTATCCCAGATCAGGTACTTTGAAATAATAAATAATTTTTTTTTAATTTTAAATTCATTTTAACTAATTAACGCCATCTTCATCAGGGACTACATGGACTCAAGAACTTGTCTGGCTGTTGAGTAATAATTTGGACTTTGATAGAGCAAAAAAAGAATATTTGGCTGATCGCTTTCCATTTCTTGAGTAAATATTTTATGACTATTATAATTAAAATTAATTTGATAATAAATACTAGCAATCTTGCAGTCACTATGTGACTGTCGTGACTTGTGAACTATAAATAAATAAAATTTTGCTTTATTAAATTAATGACTTTTGTTAAATTGCACTGTGCTTTTTCAACTATTGACATTTTTAAAGATATAAGCTCATCCCGATGTTATACTCATCAAGAGCTTTTATTTGAGTACCCACACGCATTTTTTATATTTTTTTCATATGTACATACATATAATATATATAAATATATAAAATATATGAAAAATTGATGTGGGTACTCAAATGAAAGGTCTTGACGAGTGTAACATCGGGGTGAGCTTATATCTTTGAAAATGTCAATTGTTCACAAGATACAAGGTCATTTCTTAACTATTGACATTTTTCAAGATATAAGCTCATTCTGATATTACACTTATCAAAAGCTTTCATTTAAATACTTACATGCATTTTTTATATATTTTTCATATAAACATATATATAATATATATAAATATATAAAATATATGAAAAACTGATGTGGGTACTCAAATGAAAGGTCTTGATGAATGTAACATCGGGATGAGCTTATGTCTTTAAAAATGTCAATAGTACTAAAGATACAAGGTCATTTCTTAATTATGTATCTAGAGATACATAATCTAGAGGTATCTAAAAAAACCGATTTTGTCATATGACTATACTGGACACAAAATTTTTCTTGTTCTCTTAATAATATAGATATATTGTTTTACTTGATAAATTATTCTTTCAGATTTAGTATGTTTAATCATCCGGATGTTACAAAAGAATTTTTAAAATTAAATGAAAATGATCCAGAAAAACAAGAATTGTGTAAAAAAATTACAATACCAGGATATGAAGTCTTAAACGGTATGCCATCGCCTCGATTTATAAAATCACATTTTCCTCTGAGTTTATTACCTGGAATATTAGACGTAGGCTGTAAAATAATTTACGTCGCCCGGAATCCTAAAGATGTTGCTGTGTCTTGGTATCATTTAAATCAAGCTATTAAAACTCAAGGTTATAACGGCAACTTTGAAGAATTTTGGAATTATTTTCAAGATGATCTAAGTAAAAAATAAACTGATGACTCTCTTCAAACTTATTTACATTTTTTCTGAGTATAAAATTTTTTTTTTTATCAACAGCACCGTGGAGTCCTTATTGGGAACATTTAAAGGAAGCTTGGGCTCAACGACATCATCCAAATTTATTTTTTATATTTTACGAAGAAATGCAACAGGTAAATTTATAATTTGAATATTTAATACATTTTTATTAATTATTTTATATTATTACTTTTACTTTCAGAATTTTTTCCAAACTGCTTACAAAGTTGCCGAATTTCTTGGAAAATCTTACAGTGAAAAAGAAATGTGCAAACTATCAGATTATCTTAATATAAAAAATTTCCGTAATAATCCAATGGTTAATTCTTCGGAATTACGTGATTGTCATATTATAGCTGATGGAGGTTTTGTTAGAAATGGACAAAGTGGTGTCTGGAGCAATACATTTAGTCCGAAGCTTGAAGCTAAAGCAGACGCTTGGATAAAAAAAAATTTACAAGATACAGATCTTGTTTTTCCTTATTTTAATAATAATAATATATCTCAACTCATTAATTAATTAATTATTTTATAGTAAAAAATAAAAATAATTAACTAACTGTAACATATTTAATGTATAAATTTACAAATTTTATAAATACATATTCAATATTTAAACTGAAAATTTTTTTTTTCTTTTATATTTAATAACTTCCGGCTCATCTTTAAGTTCAGAAAATTTAACAGCTATTTTCAATCTGACAGTTGTACTAAAAGCTTGAGATAATTCTTGCTCAACTGCTTTAGCAACAGCGCGAACACGACATCCACCTTTACCCATAACTAGATTTGAAATACGATCGCTTGGAGTTAGTACAGCAACGACAGTACTTATACTGTCATCTTTTAAAACTGAATAATGTTCCAACTGAACTATTATGGCATATGGCAATTCATTCGGTAATGCATCCATGAATTTAGCACGTACTGTCTGCTCAATTATTGATTCGGGCGAATCACTTGAAATTTTTTTTGATTCGTAGTCCCAATCTCGAGGCTTAGCTGAGTCAAGTAGATAACTCTGTAATCAATAATAAATTATATTCAGTACATGTTTTTATCATTATTATTCGTAGTTCATTAATCATTAACTAGCAATCTTGCAGTCACTATGTGACTGCCGTGATTTGTGAAATATAAGTAAATAAAATTTTGCTTTATTAAATAATGAATTTTGTAAAAATGCACTGTACTTTCTTAAATATTGACATTTTTTTAGATATAAGCTCATTCCGATATTACACTCATCGAGACCTTTCATTTGAGTACCCACATGGCATTTTTTATATATTTTATATATATGGTATTTGTGAAATATATAAATATATAAAATATATGAAAAATTGATGTGGGTACTCAAATGAAAGGTCTCGATGAGTGTAATGTCAGGGTGAGCTTATATATTAAAAAATGTCAATAGTTCACAAGATACAAGGCCTTTACGTAATTATGTTAAATTGCACTGTACTATCTTAAATATTGACATTTTTAAAGATATAAGCTCATCTCGATGATACACTTATCAAGACCATTCATTTGAGTACCCCTATGCATTTTCAAATATTTGTCATATATACATATATATAATATATATATATAAATATATGAAAAATTGATGTGGGTATTCAAACGAAAGGTCTCGATAAGTGTAACATCGGGATGAGCTTATATCTTAAAAAATGTCAATGGTTCACAAGATACAAAGTCATTTCTTAATTATGTATCTAAAGATAGATAATTTTTGAATGCAGCTTAAATACTTATTATCATTAATTGACTATTACTGAGAATGATATGAAACCTTGAAAAGGCGCAAATTCAATTCAAGACCTTTGCAATGACACTAAATTTCACTTAAAAAGCGATTTTATCATGACTATCCTGGACATAAAATTTTTCTTATTCTCTTAATAATATAGATGATTTAATTACCCGTAAGTCATTTATTCCATCAGATGTCAGAGCTGATACCATGAAAATGTCGGAAAAGTTTGGCCAATTTTTATCACTGGTCAGAACATCAACTAACTCTAATAATACTTTTTTTTTCTTGATTTTGTCGACTTTATTGAGTATCAAAAGAGTTGGAATTCCTATTTTGAGGTTTTTAAGTAGAACTAGAACACGTGGATCAATGACATCAGCTCTAACTTTATTTCCTACATCTTGGACAACCCCGACAATATCACATGTAGCCAATGCTTTGTCAACATCTGTTCTGAATGTTTTCTCCAAGTCGTACTTTTTCATGTCACTACTTTTTACCAATCCCGGAGTATCAATGAATATCAATTGTGTATTATCATCCATATAAATAGCTTCCGATTTTTTCTTTGTCGTCTGAACCTTTGAAGATGCGGCACAGACCTAAAGCAAGGATAAAATTTGTAATTAAAAATTAATTAACAGTGACAATGAATAAATAAATAAATAAACTTACCGGACGGCCGACTAATTGATTAATGAGTGTACTTTTTCCAACATTTGGCAATCCAAGCATTGAAATCCGTAATGTTTTGGCATCATCTCTGCGAATTTCTGAAGGTTCCCATGATGCGTCAAAAACATGATCCTCATATGATTGTGGATGATTAAATCTTACATTATGAACATCAGCTGAATAAAAACGTAAAAATCTTGACTTAATTCTTAATATTGTCCTTTCTAATGTTATTAACATGATCACGTTTTTTTATTTAAATTATCTGACAATTTTTTTATTTATAAACAAAATAGTAGGTTATATTAATCAATTAAAGTTAAATATAACTAACGCGATTTTTATTTTTATTAAAATCCACTTAAAAAAAAAATGTTATGTCAATTTTTTATATATTTTGAAAAAACTGTATTAAAAATTAAATAAATTTTTTATTAATGTTTAATTAGAGAATCACACGAGTTGCTTCAAATAACTACACAAGTTTATTATGCACCAACACAAATGTGAAATTAGTTTCTTTATTTTTGTAGTGGCGCTAGCTGTCATTTTGCGCGGTGTTTAAAAATTAGTCAGCTGTTACTCTCATTGTATATTTGATCAAAATATTTAATCTATAGAAAAATTAAATTAGCTGATATCTGAATATTTTTGTAATTTATTTTGATGAATATATAGTTAGCCGACATTTAAAAATTGTTATGATTTTTTTTATTAAAAAATTATTACAAAAAATTTTTTCACTCGTTAAAAACATCAAAAACTACAAGTGCAATTTTGTAAAAATACTTTTTAGTTATATTTTAATAAATTAAGCCAAATAAAAAAATCTAAAATGTCGGCTAAATTTATTATTATTTCATTTTATTGAAAAATTATTAAAAAACAATAGGTAAGAAGAACAAATTTCACATATAAAAAATTAACAGATTTATTTTAATTTATATTAGCCGACATCTAAAAATTTTTGTCATTTTTTTTATCAAAAAAAATTATGATATTAAAGTTAGCTGCCACTTGGCCAATTTTTTATTTTATTTAACAATTAGGTAAATTAATTCTAAAAAATTATTTAAAAAAAATTGCATTTTTAATTTTTTAAAATTTCTAAACGTCAATTTTTTTTTCTAATTTTTTTTGCCATAATTTATTTGTTAACAAAAATTATTAAATATCTGCTAAATTAATTTTCAGAAAAGATTATTGTTTCTAAAAAAATTTGAAAAACTTTAAATGCAATTTTTTAAAAGTATTTTTTCAGTTCTAATTTAATTACTAAAAAAATGTCAATAATTGTTAAACGCTGACTAATTTTAATGAAAATTAATTGAGCACATATATTATAATTTTAAGAATTTTTTTAACAAATAAATTATGTCAAAGAAAATGAGAGAAAAAAATTAACATTTAGAAAATTAAAAAAATAAAAAATCCAATTTTTTAGAAATAATTTATGAAAATTACTTTGGCATATATTTAAAAATTTTAAAAATTTTATAGCAAATAAATTATGGCAAAAAAAAAATTGACATGTAGAAATTTAAAAAAATAAAAAATGCAATTTTTTAAAAATAATTTTTTGGAACAAATTTTTTTATTAAAAAAAAATAAAAAATTGTTAAGCGACTGCTAACTTTAATGTCATCTAATTTTAGTATCATTTAATCTATTATTTACTAAATAATATTTATTGATAAAAACTTTTGTTAAATTTACTTGTAAAAAAATCTGATTATTTTTTATAATTTCAACTATTTATTTCAGAGCTTCTATTTTCTCAGTACTTGTATTTCCGTTGTACCTTTAGTTGAAAAAAAAAAAAATTCAATATGTCTGCTTCCGTTACTCCGTTACTACATTGAGCGCCTTTGAAATTTTTTATACCAGTTAAATGATTGGCTTTGAGCTTAACGGAGCAACTTACATAGAATAGCAATTAAATTAATTATTTCAACTCCAGTAAGTTAATAGTTTAATTTTAGTGTCATTTTATATCGCATAATAAAATGAAATAATTATTTTTATTAATAAAAATGTCTTCAAAAGTTCCTAAATTATCTATAAAAATAGATACAATATTATCGAAAGAAATGGAGTCAAAGTTTGGTGTGAGTGAAAATTCAGAAAGTGCAAAAGATATTTTCGACAATGCTGTAAAGAACAGCGATGACGTAACAAAGTCTACAATTGTTACTGAGAATCGTTGTTTGAGTAACGCTGACAAAAATATTATTGACCAGTTAAATGACATATTAAGTGATGATATAAATTTTTTTCCTTCTGAAGAAGTCAAAAGTACGCCATCACCTAATCCTTATAATAACTATGAAAATTTGGAGAGCTTTTACCTTGATTATCTTGAGCGAGATGATTCTCCTGTTGATGCATCATCATCCGCTCCATCTGAAGCTTCTAATTCTAGCTTACAATTACAAGGTAAACAAAAATGTAGCATGAAAGAGTTTTGTAGCTGTCCATTGTATGATACTCAGTGTTCGAATACTTTTTCAACACAAATTTACACTTCAAATGAAATTTTTGAAAATCATTACATTAATGAAGAATTTCTTGATGAAGATTTCTTCTTTGATACTGATAATAATTCTCCAAAAAATGATTCAGAAATAACATCCGAATTGACAGTTTCTGTTGTTAAATTATCTGATAGAGAGATTTTATCTCACGTTAGTTCTGAAATTCCTAAGAGTGTTGAAAATAATAATAAAAATAATAATTCAGGGCTAAGTAAAGAATTGAGAGTTGTTTTAAAAAAAATTACTGAAGAAGAAATAAATAAGTATGGACATGGTAATGCTAAAAATAATAACAGTAGTAATAAAAACATGGAAATTTGTTCATCAAAAGAGTTGAAGGTTTTATTGACTAGAATAACTGACATAAAATCTTCTAAATTAGTCGAAGAAAAAAAAAATACTCTTTATGCAATACAAGACAGTGAATTTTACCAAGAAAATAATTCTGAAGATTTGTATTTTGATCACAGTTGTTATGAATTGCAAGAAACTATAAAAATGCAATTGAAAAAAAAAAAGACACGTTATGAAAGAAAGCGAAAAATTGAGAAGAATTTTGATGATAAATTAAAAAATGGAAAAGTTCTTGTTTATGATGGAAATATGTCTGATTTAAATGATAATGAAATTGTTGTTCATAGAAAGGAATTAACTCCTCTTGAAGAATATACAGGCACGATTGTTTTAATTAAAAATGAAACTATTTTGAAACGCTCAGCAAGAATTTACACTTCGACTATTTACAAAATTCTTTTTGCGGGAAAATATGCTTATAATGATAATTATAAACAGACAATTGAAAATTTTGGTAAATAATAATTAATGAGTAATTATGATGAAAATTAAGTTAGCCGACATTTAAAAATTTTAAGAATTTTTTTTTTATTGAAAAAATCACTACAGAAAAATAAAAAAAAATTTTCATTTGTAAAAAACTTGAAAAATTATAAGTGCAATTTTTTAAAAATAATTTTTAGTTCTAATTTAATAAATTAAAAATAGTCAAAAAATTAAAAACGGCTAACTTTAGTATTATGTAATTATGACACTGAAGTTGACATTTTTTTAGAATTTTATAGCAATTAAATTATTATAAAAAAAATTACAAAAAGTTTCATATGTAAAAATAAAAAAAAATTACAAGTGAAAATTTTTAGAAGCATTTTTTTATTGTAATTGATTTGTTAAAAAAATTTTTTAAATTGACTGCTAACTTCAGTGTTACTGAGTAATTATATAATATTTAATACTCAATATATTAATGTAATTTTTTTTTTCTAGGTGGAAAAGTTGTTTCCGATCCAAAGGTAGCAACAGTCTTGGTTGCTAAAAAAGTTAAGAGAACAATGGAATTTTTAAGTGCTATTTGTCGGGGAATTCCGATTGTCTCTCTCAATTGGATCCAAGATTGTGTTGAAAATCATAGATTCGTCGATCCTAATAAGTATTTATTGAAAAATGTTGAATCTGAAGAAAAATACAACTTTAATTTGAAAATGAGTTTGAAAAGAGCGAGAGAAAAAAATTTATTTGAAGGATACTGTTTCATTATTACTTCGGGGATTCAGGAAAAAAGTTTCGATCAATTGAAATGTACGATTACTTTTTTTTTTTTTTTTTTTTTTTTAATTTACTTTCTAATTTTAAGGAATACTTTTTATTAATTTTCAATATTTGTGAATTAAATTTCAGATCTAATTGAAATAGCTGGTGGCGTTGTTTACAAGAATATTTCTAAGAATCTGAAACCTCCTGCAATGATTGTAACTTGCTCAAAAGATGACAAAAAAGTTCAAAATTTGATGAAAAAAAAACCAAACTTTTTTGAACGCGTTGTTACTATAACTTTTATTACAGACTGCATAGTTAATCAGGAAATAATTTCCGAATAAGTTTAGAAACAAAACATAAATTTGTTATTATTTTTCAGTCATTTTTATTTAGTTATTTACTATATAAAATATATATATATATAAATGTAAAAAAAAAATATTTTCTTTGCAAAATATCAAACTTTATTTTATATATTTTTTATATAAAAAACATTTTAGATTTTAAGAAATGTATTTGCGTTTACAATTACTTTTGAAATAAATAAAATGTAGACCTGTTTAAAATAAAATCTTTATTTAATGTACTTACAATTGACAAAGTGTCTAGTCGCCGATTGTACGGTCTTTAAAATTGATTAATCGCTCACTAAACCATTGACTAATTAATTTCATATGAAAATTAATTTAGCAGATAGTTGATAATTTTTGTAACAAATAAATTATGACAAAAAAAAAAAATTGACATAGAAATTTTAAAAAATTAAAAATGCAATTTTTTGGAACTAATTTGTTTGTTAAAAAAAATTAAAAAATTATCAAGTGACAACTAAATTGAATGTCATTAATTTCATCTATTAAACAATTGAACAACTAATTAAAAAATAACTAATTATTTTTCTAATAAATTGAAAATAATTTTTTTTATAATTTAAAATTGGCGCTGTTTTCCCGGGGCATCTCTGCCATTTTACATTTGTATATTCGAATGATATTTTCTCGCTCTGACTTTCTCCAGACTTATGTTTGAACATCAACTTAATAAATGTTATAAAATAAATTTATTAATTAGTGTAGCTCCTAAAATTCATAAAAATGATAAAACACATATTCAAAAATTTTTTATACAAAGCGTCTGGTGAGCCAATAGTCAAAATTGAAAAAAATGATTCTGAGGTATTTGAGGGTTATGTTTACTATAAAAATATTAATTTTAATTTTTAGAATAATAATAAATAAAAATTGTAGGATTCGGGAATTGATGATCCTATTAATATACCAGATGATAATAATAGTCAAAAAATTAATGACAGTTCAAATAATCAGCTGAATGTAGGTGATGTTATAGAATTGATTAGTGAAGATGAAGACGATTCTTTAAAAATTGTTGAAATTCAAGATGATGAAACTCCTGGTATTATATATTTTTATTAAATGAATATAAAGTTAGCCAACATCTAAAAATTGTTATGATTTTTTTTTTATTAAAAAATGATTATACAAAAATTAAAAAAAAATTTTTTTCATTTGTTAAAAACTTCAAAAACTCTGAGTGAAATTTTTAAAAAATATTTTTTAGTTCTAATTTAATAATTAAAAAAAAATTAAAAACGTCGGCTAACTTTAGTGTTATTATATTTTTATTAGTTAAATAAATGAAAATTAAGTTAGCCGCGACATTTACAAATTTTTAGAATTGTTTTGGTTGAAAAAATTATTAAAAAAAATTCATTTGTAAAAAATTTAAAAAACTACACGTCCAATTTATTAAGAATATTTTTTAGTTTTAATTTAATAAATGAAAAAAAATTAAAAATGTTGGTTAATTTTAGTATTATTTTAAATAAAATATAATAAGATCTTAGCATGTTCTTTTCCAGATGTCACTTCTTCAGTGAGACAACTGTCAAATTTGGAAAGTCATGATTCCAAAAGTCAAAATAATACAATACTTTTTAATAATGAAAAAACATTAATGGAAGATCATCCTAGTTTAATAGAAGGGATAATAAATAGCAATAAAAGTAATGAGAGTCAAAGTTTAGTGCAACAAAATTCGGTAGATTCAGCTTCAGCTGATAATCCACAAGATATGTGTGAGAAATATGAAGCAGATTGTCAGAAAAAAATTACTAACAGTAGTAACATTCTTCCAAGTTTGATTATTAGAAATCAAAAAACAGATTGTAGTAACGAAGATGAAACGAATAAGAGTTTGATGTTGGTTGAAAATAATAAACCGAGCATTATTCAACATCAGGTATCGAACACAACTGTTACTACAACTCAAAAAAATCAATTTTATATTATTAATAATCCTTATATAAAACCAATTCAATCTGAATTTTCGGAGTCTACAAATAAATGTTCTCAAAGTAAAGATATATTAAAGCGTGTAACTCCTAAAAAAAAAAATTTACCAAAAATAGTAATTGAAAATGTAAATTCAAATTCACAAAACATACCACCAAAATTATTATTATACAACCCACATAATAGAATTTCTATTCCTATCAATGGTATTGTTTCTTCGACACCAGTTGCACGGGAAAAAAAATCAGAAGGAGCCTCACTGAAAAATAATAATAATAATGTTTTGGAGTCTGATAAAAGAAATAACACTTCTTTTACTCGAGAGTCAGTTTCTAAAAAAATGAATAAAAATATCGATGATAAAGTCACAGAGAGTCCGACGATTGTTCAGGTCGAAAGTTCTAAAGAAATAAGTCATGCAGCTAATGTAACTAATACTCCAACTAGTGATAAAACTGCAACGTTAAATACTACAGTAAATAGTTCCCCAAAAGAAGGAACTACCACTATTGGGTCTACCAGTTCTAACTTGTCTCAGACTACTGTTACAGAGCCTGGAAATTCACGTAGTACACAAACTATTTCTTTTAACAAAAAAAATAATACAAGTTCTATTTCTGCACCTACCCCTAACTTTCAAAAAACTATTCCTGTACCTGAAAAATCAAATACAATACTGATGTCTTCAATAGGAGTAAATAAAAATTTTTTTCTAATCAGATTAAGGTCAAAAATCCAGTTATTGATACTGGCCTAGTTATTGACACTTGCAATTATATTTTAATTGAAAACAAATCAACTGTAATAAATTAATAAAAATAAATTTAAAAATAATTGATTTTTTGAAAACATTTTATTTTGTTAATCAGAATAAAATTGCAAGTGTCAAACAACTAGGCCAGTGTCAATAACTGGGTCTTTTACCTTAATTATTAATTTTATTTTATTTACTTTTTTTAAATTTGTTATTTATGAGTTTAGGTGCAAACTGACCCGGAACAAAATTCAGTAGCTAAGAATCTTAAACGAAAAGCGACAGATGATAATGCACAGGATGCAACTGCTTCTTGTTCTCATAATCAAGGAGCACCTCCAGCAAAAAAACAAAAAATTCAGTCATCTGAAGAAGTATTTTTTTAATTCAAGTTATTTATATAATTTTGTAAGCAATTTTTCAATAAATAACACTATTTTTCAAAGGTTTCAGATGTAATCATCCATCTTGACGGAAAATCAGCAAATAGAATTGAAATATCGAATGAATTATTGGAAAATGGTCAAGAACGACAAATTGTAAGCCAGTTTTTTGAGAAAATTAGCTCCGTTGTAATTGTACAACCACCATCAATTACGCAATCTATAGTAAAAATTATAAATAAATCGCTGCGTAGTACGAATCAAAATTCTGCGGCTAATAATGAGACACTAAGAACCGTTGGTGACAATAATATCTCGAATAATAATGAAACATCGCTCAATAAAGATTCGAGGCAAGAAAATTCGGAAAATCAGGAGGCAGCTTCAAGCAATGAACCAGTAAATAGTAATGAAAAGCCAACTAATAATGATTCAAATATCAATGAGAGATCTATGAATGAAAATTTAAATAATAATCAGACATTGAATAAATCAATTGTCAATGAAAAATTAAATGATAAGTCGCATTTAGCAAAGGAAAATTCAAATAATACCAACTTGAATGCAAATATAAAAATTCAAAGAAATGAACCAGTTGCTTCGACTTCTACTGCGCCTGTAGAAACTCAAACTGTAAATCAAAATTTTAAGTCGGAAAATAATTTTGGTAGTTCTTTTTCGCCTTCTGGTTTTGTACAATATGGTACTCGCTTATTAAATAAGACTGACAAGATATGTTTTACTGGTGAAATGGATGAAAAGCGTCAAATTGCGATAGAAAAATTAGGTAAATTTATTTTTTTTATTTATCTATTGTTCTTATAATGATTAAATAGTGTAAACTCATTAGCTCATTTCTAAATATGTCTAATTCTCTTCTCTTACTGGTTACTTACTTTGTATTATATAAAATTACTTTTTTTTTTAAACTTACTTCAGAGTAGGTAAACTTGGGTACAAGATTTACTCTGTGATTAATATGTGTTGCCCATGGCACCTCTTGTTAAAACATGTAAATTTACTGTTAATGCAATAGATTAAATTAGATTAAGGGGTTACATAGGTTTCGCGGTTTAAAAAAATCGACTTTTTTATTGTCTTATTAATTTGTACAACATCTGAAGAATAATTATCGATCCGAGTAATAGTTTCGGAGATATAGCCTTTTGAAATTGCGCACTTATATTCCACTTTTATTGTCACTCCAAACTTTAAACGCGTTTTTCTCGAAACTATGTTTTCAAAGCCGGCTGTCAAGGTTTATCAAAAACTACTAAACCAATTTTGATCGAATTTCTCACAAGTTTCAGAGATACAATTCTCAAGGAATTGGACGAAAGATTTTTTTTTTTATTTACAACTATTTTTAAAAACAAAAATGTAGAGCAAATTTTAACAAAATTTTCATTTTTTTGTAAAAAGGTCTGCCGAAAATCGATTTTTTTTTTTTTTAATTATTTTCCTTTAAAAATCTCAGAAATTCTTTGTTAAATATATATCTTTAAGGTAGTACTACCGGTTTTAGATTTGACGTTCAGAATTTAATGAAATTTGGCATATTGGTACTTTATAATATCATAATTAAGCAGTCAAATTTTTGGAAGCCGAGCAAGTCCTGAAAAAAAGATATTAATATTTACATATTTTTGCTTTTATCATTGATCCTTATGGAGAATCACAGACTTTATTTTATTTCACAAAACTGGACGTTGAGATTCTTATAAAAATCAACACAACGAGAGGAAATAACATCTAGAACATATTTAGTAACAATCAGTATGGTTTCCAAGAATATGAGAATATTTATTAATAAAAAACATTCAAAATTTATCTCTGTCTCTCTTTCTCCAACGTAATTTAGTATAGGGAAATCTACTACGTTAATCAAATACGGTTAGGTTTTGGGATTTGACACTTGTGGTAACGGTAGTACTACCTTAAGTCTCCAAAAAGTTTGAATAAAAAATACTATTTTATCCCAGAAAAAAAAATTATTGAAAATCGGCCGTTTTTTCACCGACGAAATCTATGTAACCCCTTGAATTGATTAATAAATTATAATGATTAAATACAATGATATATTTATTTTATAGGTGGACAAATTACTAATGATCCAACAGATGCGACTGTTTTAGTAGCTGATAAATTTCGAAGAACATTTAAATTTATTTGTGCGATTTGTCGCTCAATTCCCATCGTTTCAACTCAATGGATAAATGAAAGTATTACCAAGAATAATTTTGTTAACCCTTATAAATATATATTAAAAGACGAAGAAGCTGAAAAAAATTATGGCTTTAATTTAGAAGAAAGCCTTATGAAAGCAAAGAAAAAACAGCTTTTTCGGGATTATACAGTTCTCATTACAAATGGCGTTAATCGTCCAAGTGTAAACGAACTCAGAAGTAATAATAATTACTATTTTATATTGCTACTCTTTTAATTATAAAATACTAATTAATAATTTATTAAATTACAGCTATAGTTAAATTCGCTGGAGGTAGACCCTTAGTTCGTGCTCCAAAATACTGGGGACCAAAATCTATGATAATAAGCTGTGATGATGATGCACCAAAGGTTCGGAAAATATTAGAAAAAAAACCACAAGAGATCTTGTGCCCTGTGGTGTCGGCAGATTTCATACTATCTTCTCTATTGAAGCAGGACTTAGAGATTAATACTAACAATCTTAAAGTAGAAAAAAAATAAGAAATCTTAATTATTATTTTTATTTTAAATACTTTATTAATATTAGTTGTTTTATTGTTATTTATATTCAAGAAATATTTTATTTCACTATCAAAAATACTGCTGTCATTACTTTTGTTTACTTACTTGTATACATGTCGTTTTTTTTTATTTGTTTTGGATCTCAAAAAAACATTATATTGTTTTCCTTAAAATTTATTATCTAGGGAAAGTACGAACTTTTTTTATTTTATATTATTTAATTTTAATAGCTCTATTTGTCAAATAATTAGTTTATCTGTCGTTGAGATTATAAGAGTAAAGAACAAGAATTGGATTGTTTAAAATAAAAATTAATTTTAAACTAAGCAATGCTAGCAGCATTTTATATTCATAATTTAATGGAAGTGAAGAAAAATTTTATTATAAAATTATTTCTTATCAAAATTCTTTAAATAAAGAGTACATAAAATCAATCCAAGTTTTTTTTTTTTCATTTATTAAATTTGAACAAAAAAATATTTTTTAAAAATTGCACTTACAGTTTTTAAAGTTTTTTACAAGTGAAAATTTTTTTTTTTATTTTTTTGTAATAATTTTTTCAATAAAAAAAAATTCTAAAAATTTTTTAATGTCACAGCTAACTTAATTTTGATCAATTAAAAGAAATCTGTTAATTTTTGAAATTTTTATAACAAAAAAAATTGTTATGAAAAAATTTTTAATAAATTCCACATCTAGAAATTAAAAAAAATTACAAGTGCAAATTTTAAAAAACCATTTTTTTTTTTATAATTAATTTTTAATAAAAATTCAAAAAATTGTCAAATGTTTGCTGATCAAATTTTTTTCAAAATAATTGCATTACATTAATGCTAAGTAACATAATTAAATTATCAATTTTATAAATAAATACTTTTTTGAATTTTCCCGCTATTTCTTTTTCGGGATGGCGCTCTTTGCAGCGACGGAAATACGGAAACACTCGAGCGGAAGAAAAGGGAGCGAATGAAAAAACAAATTATAACCTTAACAAACGAATGTTGAACCTGAAGACGAAATTCAGAGTTCAGATAATTCTATTTACATATTCATAAGCTTTGAATATGACAATGAATAAATTTTTCAAGAGTAAATCAAAAAAAGAATTAAAAATTGAAACAAAAAAAAGTTTAGAAGCTGAGAAAAATAAGAGACAAAAGACAGAAATTATGGTAATTAACAAAATTAAAAATGATTTTTACTCAATTATGATGATGCGAATAAATATTTTTAGTTATACATAAGATTAATATTATTATTATTAATTAATATATTAGGGCTCAGCTATAGAAAAGTTAGCTTCAAATTTTCGTGGAGTCAATAAGGATATTAATAACGACAGTACTGGAGTAAATGGAAAAAATCAAGGATCATTGCGGCCATCAACGCCAGGTATTATAATTATTATATATCAACTTTGGTTAAGAATACTGATTGAAAAGAATTGAGAAGCAGTCACTCCATACAAACTTTATATCTATATACCCGTGTAAAAAAAAATCGTCTTAAAATTGTCGTTCGTTTAAGATCTTAAACGTGACACAAACTAAGACTATTTTAAGATTCTTTTAAGATGCCAAAAAAAAAAATTCCGAGATTTTCTAATAATTATTTTGATTTTTTTAAGACTATTTTAAGATTTTTTCAAGACGATTTTAAGATTTTTCTAAGACTATTTTAAGATTTAAGCTTTAAAATAATTTTTATATAGTCTTGAAAAATTTGAAAATAGTCTTAAAGAAATCTGAAAAAAAAAATATTAAAAAATTTTTAGGCTATTTTCAGATAACATCATAGTGGCAGCTCCGGAAAATTATTATGGAGCGTTTTTAAATTGTCTCAAAATTATCTTAAATTAGTCTTAAAAAAATCTTAACAAAAAATTTAGACTATTTTAAGATGGGTTAATAGCGACAGAGCCCCGGAACATTAAAACGGAACGTCTTAAAAAAGTCTTAAAATTGTCAGATAATAATTTTTTAACAATTTTAAATTCAATTTAAAAACATCTTACTCAAAAATATTGCAGTTAGAAAGTCGTAAAATCATCTAAAAATTAATTTTCACAACAAACTCGAGAACAAAATTTTCAAAAATCTCCTCTCGGAATTTTTCTTTCGGCGTCTTAAAAGAGTCTTAAAATAATCTTAGTTTGTGTCACGTTTAAGATCTTAAACGAACAACAATTTTAAGACAATTTTAAGACGATTTTTTTTACACGGGTATACAAACAAAAAAATTGAAATTATTGAAAAGAATTCGAATTTTATCACTTTTAATTCTTTTCAATCAATATTTTTTAACAGAGATTAAAGTAAAAGACCCAGTTATTGACACTGGCCTAGTTGTTGACACTTGCAATTTTATTTTAAAACGGGTTAACCCGTTGAGGTATCATTATGGGTCTAAATGATGAAAATAAATTTAGCAGATATTTAATAATTTTTAAAATATTTTTTTAAATAAATTACGGCAAAAAAAAATTAGAAAAAAAATTGACATGTAGAAATTTTAAAAAATAAAAAATGCAATTTTTTAAAAGTAATTTTTTGAACAAATTTGTTTGTTAAAAAAAATTAAAAAATTCTCTAGTGTTTGCTAACTTTAATGTCATGTCTAAATGACCCAAGGCAATTTTTGAGTTGCTCTTGTTTCGAAGATATCATTCAAAATGGTATCTGTGGTACCATCTATTATTGTTTGAAGATTTTTTTAAATTCATGGAAATTTACGATTATAATTGCACAAATCAATATACTTTTTCAAAAGCTTGACATGACACCACTTTTTTTTTCAAAGTATGCGATATCCGGAGTAGAACTCCGCAGGTCATTTTTATTTATCATAAAAAATGAAGTTTTTAGTAAAAAAAAAGTCAAATTTTTTTAAATTTGACTTACTCGCATTTTTTTTTATTACTAAACAATTAAAAAAAAAATTAAAAAATGATTGTTATTCAACGGAAGTATTAAGAATTACTCTCATGTACGGCTCGAGTGAAAATATTGACAAGAACGCAAGTAGCAACAATTTTTTCCGTGCATGGGGTCAATTAAACCCAGTATGACCACTACATTATTCTTAAGAAGTGTGACCTCAACGGGTTAATTGAAAGAAAGGTCAATTCCAATAAATCAATAAATACAATTCGTGATCTATAAGTTTTTAGGTAATTGGTTTTTTGAGAAAAAATTTTTTTTTTCATTGGAATAAAATTGCTAGTGTCAAATAACTAGGCCAGTGTCAGTAACTGGGTCTTTTACCTTACCCAGAATATTTAAAATGTATCTTTTAATCTTGTGTATTTTTTTAATATGATAAACTAGGTCCAATAGAGCGACCCAAAAAAATTCATAAAGAAAAAAACCAAGTTGATAATAGAGAAGCGTTTAAAAGAGTTGAAATAGAAGAAACGTTAATCACAAAACAAAGTAAATTATTAATAAAAAAAGGACCTGATGATAAAATTGTTGTTGCTCGACAAACTCAAACTACTGAACAATCAACAAAGTTTACAAAAAGCTATTTGAATGGTGATCCACTAGAAGAAGTCTCCAGTACGACTCAGGATGATCAATCATCTCTAATAAATGTAGCAAATAATTTAGATAAAGTTTCGGATAATTCTAATGAAAATTTGAGTTTAAAGAATGATTTAAAAACTTACAAAAATGCACAAAGAGTAATTGGTTTAAATGATACAAGTGAGTCCGACTCAACGATACTATTGATGCCATGTCATTTAAAAAAGAAGAAGAAGAGTAAAAATAGTAAAAATAATTTGTCAAAAAATAAAAAACTTGCATTGAATAATACGAAGGTAAATTCATTAGAAAATAAAGAGTCAAAAATTATTAAAAGCGTGGATTTATTATCTGACTCAGATCAAAAAAATAATCCTCCGCTTTCAAAAGAAGATTTGGTAAATAAAAAAATGGGCTGTAAAATTCAGGATGAAGATGTGACTGATTCTGAATCGACTTTATCATCAACACCTATTGAGTCTCAAAATATTACAACGATTGATTCCGTTAATGACTCTGATACAACTGTATTTTTAACTCCCGTCGAGCAAAATACGAGTGTTGTAAATAATACGCATGAAGTCGATTCAGATTCAACTATTTTTTTAACTCCAACTGATAAACCCAAAAATTGCAAGAAAAAAATGAAGGAAACTTCTAGTGAATCGTCTGAAGAACCACCTAAAAAAAAATCTAAAAATATTCAAACTTGTGAAAAGGTGAATCAATTGAATGAATCAATCTATAAAGTTCCAGAGAAATTTTCATCTAAAGAATTTAAAGAAAAGTTTATTAAGATAGTTAAAGAGGAGAAATTAAAAAAAAAAATTGTAGCTGTTTTTAAGCATGGAGGACCAGCTCAAACCGAAACTTTACCTACTTCATCTCAAGAGCTGAAAGATAAACTTGATAAAATTCTGGGGGATGAAGGATTAGTTGATAATAATAAAGAGCCTAAAATTGATGAGCTTAGAGAAAAATTTAGTGAGATGTTTGGAGATGATGTATTGAAGAGTCAAATAGAACCTCCTCCTACGCTTTCTAATGAAGAAGTTCTTAATATTTTGAAGCCTAATCAACATGTTAATACTACTGTCGATACTTCTTTAAGTGAAAGAGATTTAGCTGTGGATAAAAAAGAAAATTCACGGGTTAATAAATCTAAGGTAGAGAAGAAGAAAAGTTGGAAAATAAATGGAGAAAAATTATTTAGAAAAACGATACAAGAAAGATATGTTAAGAATTCAAAGGTTGGTGAAGAAAAAGAAGAAATGGAAGATACGTTGAAGTTATTAGATGAAAGTTTATCTTTGAATAAAAACGAAAATTCAGTTATTAATAAATCTAAGGCAGAGAAGAAGAAAAGTTTGAAGATAAATGGAGAAAAATCATCAAGAAAAATCATACAAGATGAAAGTAATGTTAAAAAGTCAAAAGTTGTTGAAGAAAAAGAAGAAATGGAAGATACCTTGAAGTTATTAGATGAAAGTTTATCTTTGAATAAAGAAGAAAATTCATTTATTAACAAACCCAAAGCAGAGAAGAAGAAAAGTTTGAAGATAAATGGAGAAAAATCATCAAGAAAAATCATACAAGATGAAAGTAATGTTAAAAAGTCAAAAGTTGTTGGAGAAAATGAAGAAATGGAACTCGAAGAATTGGAAGATACCTTGAAGTTAGATGCAAGTAATGATAGTCAAAGCCGAGAACTTGAAGAGACATTGAAGTTGCCTGAAATTCCAGAGCCGGTTAATTATGAGTTGGTGGAGGTCGGGGATTTGAAACATCAAAGTTACAACGAAGAATCAGACGATGGGACGGATTCATCATTTGGAAAGTTGGTAATCGATGAATCTCCTGATGCAACAATTGCATTGCTGGATACTTCAAATCTTAATGAGATTGATTTTGAAAAGGATTCAATTGTTAATGAAAAAGATCCTCTGTATGTTGATAATAATGATTATCCGCTTGCGATCTGTGTTCTTGAAGATGAAAATCATTCTGATGTTGCTCATTCTGAGCAACAACAAGTAAATTTGTTGAAAGAAAATAATGAATCAGATTCTCGTGGGAGATTGACAGAAACTCAAGAAGATAATTCTATCAGTTTGAAGAAACTTGATACTCGAGAATTATTAATAGTAGTTGAGAGAGTTGATGTTGATAAATTTAAAAGAAAAAAATCTGTTAAAGTGGTCAATAGCTTGAAGGCTAGATCAAGTTTGAAAAAGAAGATTAGTCTGGAAAATTCTCGAGCTGATCCATTTGATTTGGGTTTAGAAAAAGAATTAAGGGTAGTATTAGAGGGATTGCCTTTGAAAGTAAATCAAAATACTTTGAAAAATAAGAATAGAATTAATGCTACTGAGCCAAAAAATAAAATTGTTCGTAAGTTTAATAATTCACGAAAAAGAATTAATAAGATAATTAAACATAAAACTGGTAGGAAGAATCAGATACTTTTAAAAGAACTTCGAATTATTTTAACTCCAATTAAATTGAAAAATGATCAAAATCTGAAAAATAAGCATACTATTAATGAAACTTTGACTTCATCTGTTGTCAATAAAAAACTTACCAAAAAAACTAGAAAAAGCCAAAATAAAAACAAAGCACTGAGCCTTGTTTCAAAATCAACTCGAAAACGTTTAGATAATTCAAAGTCTGCAAAAGAAATCAAGAAAATTTCAAAGGCGAAATCGAGCTCGAAAGTTGTAAAAAAAGTTTCAAATAATAATAATTTAGCAAGAAAAAGAAAATTAAAATCTAATTTAAAAGCTATCACAACTAAATCTAACTTGCCTAATTTAAGTCAACATCAAAATTTGAAAGAATTGAAAGTTACTTTAGAAAGGATTTCTACAGGTGATTTAGCAAAGTGGCGCAAGAAGAATTCGACACGTTCAAAAGTTACTCAACGAAGTAAAGTATCATCACAATAGCATGTATCTTAAAGTATGAAAATTAAGTTAGCCGACATTAAAAAATTTTTAGAATTTTTTTTTTATTGAAAAACTGATTGCAAACAAATAAAAAAAATTTTCATTTATAAAAAACTTGAAAAACTCTAAGTGCAATTTTTATAAAATATTTTTTTGTTCTAATTTAATTATTGAAAAAAAATTAAAAGCGTTGGCTAACTTTAGTATTATTCTTAAAGTACATTTTTTTTTTCTGTTAAACAGCATGATTCAAATAACTAATAACTAATTCATAAAAAAAATTATAAAATCAAAATTGTTAGCATGATAATATTTCCAAGCGGTACAAAAATTTTTTTTCTAGTGTTTTGTTGAATTAAAGTTGACAATTGTTAATTTTTGACTTCTTGTTGAGTAAAATCTTCCAAAGTCATTAAATAAATAAATATTCTTTTTTTGATGCTTGGGAATCGTTTATTATTATTATTATTATTATTTTTGTTATCATTATTAATAATTCTATTGTTACTATTAGTGCCATGACTACTACTATAAATATTTTTTTTTTTTTTATAATGACACTGAAGTCGACAGACATTAAAAATTTTGTTATAATTTTATAGCAATAAAATAATTTAGAAAAAAAAAATGTAATAAAAAAATTCCACATGTGAAAATTAAAATAAATTATTTAAATTATTAGCAGAGATTTTTGAAAGCATCTTTACTATTCCAATTGATTTGTTATAAGAGCATGAAAAATTGACAGTTGTCAGGTAACTTCAGTATCACTTTTTTTATGTAAGTTTTTCTGAAATTTCAATGGTCATTTTTGGATAATAATAAAAGTTTTAAATGACCAAAGTATTCATGTAAAAATTTTTATAAATAAACAAAAAATAATTTATACCAGTGAGTAATCATTTTTGTTTATACACATGAATGACAAAAAATATATTACAAGTTTAACCGGTAGTTCTTCCCTTAATTATAATTATGTGATCATCATCTTGGATAATAATAAGTAAGATTATAAAAAAATAAATAAGATTATAATTAAAAAAAAAAATTTCACTTGTAAAAAACTTTAAAAACTGTCAGTGCAATTTTCAAAAAATATTTTTTTGTTCTAATTTAATTATTAAAAAATAAATCAAAAAATTAAAATCGTCGGCTAACTTTAGTATTATTTAGAAAATTAGTTTTAAAAAATTGCGTTTATAATTCGTTAGATCTTCTAAAAATGGAATTTTTTAAATGATTTTTTTTTGCTAGAATTAATTTGTTAAAAAAATTCTAAAAATTATGACAGATGTCTCGTAAATTAATTTTAGTGCCATATGAGAGTGAATAAGAGATACTAAATGAAAGAGATAAGAAACGGCACAAACTATGCATACTTGGCGCGCACAGTGTTGTGATCGAAGTAGTTTAAAAAAAAAAGAAATAAAATTAGTTAAACTTTTCTCCACTAGTGTAGTAACCTAAACTTTCTAATTTGGGGACAGAGTTTACTATTTAAATTATGAATTAATAAAACATTTAATATAATCTAAATTACATTTAAATTTGCACTTCACTGCTGGTAGCGTCACCTGCTGGATGCATCTAGAGGTATTACATATTATATGAAGTAGTCACTAGCCTCAGTCACAGTCAAACTTGTTTGATCTTGTTTCTTTTTTGTCTAGTATAGTAAAATAAAAGTGAAGAAAAACACAAAAATAATAATTTATAGGTTGTAATTCAATATTATAAATTATCAAAAATGTCTAGAGAATCAGTTAATAATACATCTCAATCAAATATAGTAAGTAAAAAATTGACTGAAAATAAAATTAGCAGACAGCTGACAATTATCAGGATTTTTTTTATTAATAAAATTATTATTATAAAAAAATATCAAGCTGACAACTGTCATTTTTTGGATCTTTAAAACAAATAAGTGACTACTAAAAAAAAAAACATTTAAAAAAAGGCAATTATAAATTTTTTATACTTGCAATTTATGACATTAAAGTTAGCTGGCACTTGACAATTTTTTAATTTTATTTAACAAAAAGATATTTTCTAAAAAATTGCATTTTTTATTTTTTTAAATTTCTTTTTTTCTTATTTTTTTTAGTCATAATTTATTTATTATAAAATTTTTTAAATTATTAAATATGTGCTAAATCAATTTTCATTTGTAATTTTTTAAAAATGCTTTTTTTTATTGCTAATTCAATTAATAAAAAAAAAAGAAAATTTTTTGCTGTCGGCAAAATTTAGTTTCATAAAAATTAAAAATGATTGGTCAATGTGTTTATTAATTTTATTTATGTAACTAAAATATTAAAATTTATTTATTTAATGAACAAATTTATTTTTTTAGACTCTTATTACATTAAGTGATAATGAAGATAATGACGACGACGACGAAGTTAAAATTATTGATCACAAAGGTAAAGTTTTATCTTCACAAATAAAATTGTTAATTTAGTAAGTTAATTAATTAATTGATTTTATTTTAGAAAATGTTTCTACCGTGACGGATGAAGATATCAAAGTAGTTTTTGAAAAGGATCGGGTTTTTTCAGTTCTTAAAACGGTTGAATTGCAGACAATTGATGATACAAAGTCTGATGTGAGTTTTGGTACGAGTTCATTGATCGAATCACCGGTAAAATTAAATAACACATTAACACCTGAATCACCTGAAACTATTGAAGTAAAAATTATTAAAGAAAATATTACAATAAGGATTCTAGAAACACCTGAAAAAGTTAAAACAATTATTGAAGATAAAAAAATTGCAAGCTCTCTAGAAACGCTTAAAGAAGTCAAGCCAGAAATTAGAGAAGAAAAGATTACAAATTTATTAGAAAGACTTGAAAAATTTAAAAGAGAAATCAAAGAAGAAGAGACTCAAAAGTCACGAGAAAAAATTCAAAAAGTTAAACCCGAAATTAAAGAAGAGAAGAATACAAAGCCAATAGAAACACTTCAGAAAGTAAAACCGGAAATTAAAGAAGAGAAAGTTACAAAGCCAATAGAAACACCTAAAAAAGTAAAACCTGAAATTAAACAAGAAAAGATTAAAAATTCACCAGAGAGTAATCAAAAAGTTAAAACAGATGTTAAAGAAAATATCGATAAAAATATAAAAACTAATAATGATACTAAAAAAGTCGTACTTGAGCTAGAAAATCCAACTGTTGGTGCGAATAAGCGCAAAAAATTAAACTGTGATGAACAAGATAATGTGTTACGAGAAATAAAGCCAGAAAATGTAAAAGAAGAACAAAAGTTTAATTATAAATCTCACTCGAACTGTGTCATCAATCCTCAAAATAAAAAATTTAAAAATGATTTTAAGTTGAATGAAAAAGATGATATGAAATCAGATACTTTGTCAAGAAGAAATGATTTAGAATATTCATCAACTTTAAAGTCCGAAAATACATCTAGTAAATCACAATCTTCTAAAAAGCCAATGAAAATAATGTTTACGGGTGTTAACTATCAAGAGTATGAAAAACCTCTTTCTGAAATCGGTAAAAAATTATTTATACAATTTATAGTAAAAAAAGAGTGGCGATAGAAGTAAATTATTTTATTTTTAACTATCTGTTACTCGCCCGCTCCGCTGGGCGCTTTATAGAATTGCATTTTTAGATCCAGGCTTGAAATTTAATCAGAGTATTGTTTTGACTTGCACAGATTCCAAATTCTGTCGAATTGGCATGCACCTTTTATCCATTTAATTAGCTAATATTAATTGTTACTTTCAATGTGCAATCATTATAACATTTCCGTGTCTTTCTTACAAAAATGAATAATAATTGATATGAAAAAAAAAATTTTTAATGAGCATTGAAAGTTTTAGTTAAAGAAATTGCAGGTCTCATAAGTGAAGAAATCTGCCTAGTATATAAACATAACCAATAGAATTAAAAAATTTATTTTAAACAAATGACATTCGAATAGAACAAATTTAGGTGCAATAAAAATTCATTATTTCTAAGTCAAAAAAATATAGGTACTTAATAGGTAATAAGTAACGTCGTCTCAAAGAAAAGTCGATCTAAATTATAATTTGCCGAGTACAAATGACTGTAGCTCATAAAATAAAAAATTTTTATTAGTTCTCTATTGAATAATTTATAAATTATTAAATACCGATATTATTTTTAAGTCGATAGCAAATATCAACCTTATGAACAAAAATATAATTAATTCCTTCAATCGGCACTCTTATAGTTTACTGAGTAACATAATGTAATGATACATAATTGAATATAATTTTTTTAGGAGGTATAATAGTCACTAATGCGTCGACTGCAGAGATTTTAGTGACAGATCAAATTCGTCGAAAGTTGAAATTCACTTTAGCCATAGCACGAGGCATCCCAATTGTATCAGTAAAGTGGATAAAAACAAGTCTTGAAAGTAAAAAATTTCAAAATCCGCTCTCGTATATCATTAAAGATATTCGTTTTGAACGTGAATATAGTTTTGACTTGCGTGACAGCTTATTGAAACGACGAAAAAATTCTATTTTTGAAGATTACACGTTTATTATTACCCGGAATGTCCATCCAAAATTTTCAGATTTATCTGGTAAGAAATTTTATTGCTCTAATCAGGTCTAAATTTTTCTATAATTAATTTTAACCAGGATGTTGTAGAGCAAAATAATGATGTTATATTTTTTATTTCATGCTAATATTTTATTATTATTATTGTGATAGATATTGATATTCTTTTGTCAAAAAACCAAAATTTATTTTAAACGATTCTTGAGCCAAGAAATTTTTTTCTGGACAAAAATTTTTCTTTTTTTCAGTGTAAAATAAATGAAATAAAAAACATAACATCATTATTTGGACCTACAACACCCTGATTTAAATTAATAGTAAGAAATTTTTTTATAAAATATTATTTTGGTTGTAATTAAATTGATTTTCAATCGATTTATTTTTTAGACTTAATTGAAGCATCAGGTGGAAGGATCCTAGTGAATGCACCTAAGACATGGAGAGATCATACATTCATTGTCAGTTGCGAGCATGATTTATCATCTGCACGACGTAAGAAACTTAATTCTCCTAGAAAGTCAATAATACCGATCGTCGAAACTTCATTCATCATTGATTCTATCTGGAAGCAAAGGATTAACATAAAAGATCATTTACTCAGTTATTGAAGTAATCTCGACAAGTTTTTGTGTAAGTTTTATACAACCATAATATTATAATATTTTCATGTGAGTGATGATGATTTGATAACAGTTTAATTACTATTTATTTAAGAATATTTGAATATTTATACTATTTATTTGAAAGTTACATTTTAATGATAGTTTTTATTCACTTACTTTTAATTGTATTGGAAAAATTTCTTTCGCTTGATTTAACTTCTAAAGTTAGTAAGTTCTTGTGTTGAATAAAAAAAAATTATTGTTTTATAAATTTCGTATTTTTATGAAATGCATTATAAGGTAAAAGATCCAGTTATTGACACTGGTCTATTTTTTCGACACTTGCAATTTTACTCTGATTAAAAAAATTAAATTTTTTCAAGAAACCAATTGTCTTAAAATTTATAATTAAGAAATGACCTTTTATCTTTTAAACTATTGAAATTTTTAAAGATATAACCTCATCCCGATGTTACACTCATCAAGACCTTTCATTTGAGTACCCACATGCATTTTCATATATATTTTTCATATATACATATATATAATATATATAAATATATGAAAAATTGATGTACATCTTTGAAAACATTAGTAGTTAAGAAATTACAGTATAATTTAACAGAAATCATTATTTAATAAAACAAAATTTTATTTATTTATAGCTTACAAGTCTCGGCAGTCACATAGTGACTGCAAGGTTGCCAGTATTTATTAATTTATTAGAGTAGATTTGTTTTTTTTAATTAAAATAAAATTAAAAGTGTCAATAACTCGGCCAGTGTCAATAACTGGGTCTTTTACCTTAATTCTTTTTTATTTTCTTTAAAACTAAAATAAACAAAATATTGTTTTTTATTTAGTTGTTATAAATAACAGTGTAAGAGTTTAATTTTTTGTTCAGAAAAAAAAAATTATCATATATGACATTATCTATTTTTTTTTTTTTTTTTTTGTAATACAAGTAAAATCTCAAAATGAAAATGCTATAAATAACTTATGCAATAGATGAAATATCTATACAATGCGTTTCATTGATTCTTTACGGTCGGAAATTTTACAGAAAATGGAAACATCAAATTTTGGAAATCTGTGAGTAAGGAAATCAATAAATGAAAAATATGGAAAAATAAGATTTCAGAAATAATAAAAAAATGATGTGTCTTATTGAGGATACTTTGCAATATCGATTAGTTAAAAAATAGCAATGAAAAAATGTAGTAATCAAAATAATTAGAATTATTTTAAAAAAGATAAGCGTAAAATTATAAAATCAAAAAAAAAAGATTTCGGTGAAATTAGACGCATCAGAATATAAATATCTAAAATGACTGATATTTAAAAAATAAGAAAAGAATAAATTCAGACAAGTTGAAAAAAAGACAATTATAAATTTAGAAATATAAAAAAATAGACAGTCATTAATATTGGTAAACTTAAAATATGGAAATCTGTTAATATAGACCAATAAATTTTGATATCTGTAATTATGGAAATCTGTAAATACGGATAAATATAAATTCTGATAATTTATAAGAAAGACAATTGTAAACGTAGTCATCATACGAATTGAGCGCGAAGAAGTTTAAAATACAAAATATAACAGAGAGGAGATATATTTTCCTGTGACCGCTGCTCCGGGAAGTTGTCAAGTTGTCGGCGACAGATATCCCTACAATTACCAGCTCCTGTGACCGCTGCTCCATGAAGTTGTGCAGTTATTTGCGACGTTGTGTCTTGGATTTTTAAAAAACATCACCAAAATTTTTTTTTTTAATTTTGGTAAAAACTATTTTCGAGGACCGATAACTGCCACCAGCTCCTGTGACCGCTGCTCCAGGAAGATGTGCAGTTATTTGCGACGTTTAGTCCTGGATTTTTTAAAAATATAAAGATTTATCTCCCGATACTGGTATTAAATATTTTTAAAGGCTGATAACTGCCACCAGCTCTTGTGACCGCTTCTCCAGGAACTATTGAAGTTGTTGACAACAGATTTCCCTATAATTTTTATAAAAAACCAAGATTTATGTTTAGATCTTTTTTCATAATCTTATCCAATTATTTTCTAATTCGTGAATGTTTTTTTTTTTTCTAAATTTTTATCATTCATTTGTTTATTTAATTATAAACAAATAGTTGTGATATTTTTTATTGGTTATAATAATTTGTTATCCATAAGTCGATGGTGATGGATCGTAAGTCTAAATTTATTGGTGACAGAATGAGGATTTGATGCGTTCGGATTAAGCGCACCACCGCCCCGGGGCGCTTTCGCTATTTAATTTTCGTCGCGAATTAAAATGAGATAGCGATAGCGCCCCGGAGCGCTGGTGCCGGTTAATCCGAACTCAACATAATGAAAAAAACGTATGAATATTTGAAAATTATAGAACAATATGTCCCAAAAGATTTCACAGCTGCCTGGAGCAGCAGTCACAAGAACTGATGGCAGTTATCGGCCCCTGAAAGTATTTAATACCAGTATCGGGAGACAAATCTTTATCCTAATATAAAATTGAGATAAAATGTATGTGAAACCAATCTATTCGTGATGTGATTGGTTGAAAATATTTATTCTCATTCTGATTGGATGAAAGTGAATATAATATACGTAAACGACACATAAATATATCATGACAATAAATATGAGGCGCGCGCTTGCGCGCGAAAATTAAATTCTAGTATTTTTAAAAAATCCAGGACACAGAGTCACCGACAACTTCACAACTTCCTGGAGCAGCGGTCACAGGAGCTGGTGGCAGTTATCGGCCCTCGAAAATAGTTTTTACCAAAATTAAAAAAAAAAATCTTGGTGTTTTTTAAAAATTCAGGACTAAACGTCGCAAATAACTGCACAACTTCCTGGAGCAGCAGTCACAGGAGCTGGTAATTGTAGGGATATCTGTCGCCGACAACTTGACAACTTCCCGGAGCAGCGGTCACAGGAAAATATATCTGTGGATAAGCGTAAAATTATAAAATCAAAAAAAAAGATTTCCATGAAATTAGACGCAATCTCCTCTCTGTTATATTTTGTATTTTAAATTTCTTCGCGCTCAATTCGTATGATGACTACGTTTACAATTGTCTTTCTTATAAATTATCAGAATTTATATTTATCCGTATTTACAGATTTCCATAATTACAGATATCAACATTTATTAGTCTATATTTACAGATTTCCATATTTTAAGTTTACGAATATTAATGACTATCTATTTTTTTATGTTTCTAAATTTATAATTGTCTTTTTTTCGACTTGTCTGAATTTATGCTTTTCTTTTTTTTTAAGGAGGTCCTTTCGCCGCCAATGTAAAATAAAAAATATTAGATTATGAGTAAATTCAATTTTTTTCTAATAGTTAAGGCCCTTATTTATCTAATAGTGAGGTTTAAATTATACTTTACCGGACAAATTTTTGAAAAAATAAAATTTTTAAATGTTAGTATTTGTTCAGAGTCTTACGAGAAAGTCAGACGTTTGCAGTATTTCTCGAATTATACTATCAGTCATGGATTAGATGAAGTAAAAAAAAACTAAAAATTAGATTTTCGAAATATTGAGGTTTCTTTTTTTGCAATAAAATATATCAGTTACCGAGATATTTATTGAGAAATTAATTTTTAAAAATCACAAAAAATTCTCAAGTAACCTACGTTAAAATGGAGTCAAAAAATTTGGCAACGTTGCGTAGCGCGCGAACTTCAGACCATTCAATAAATTCAAACTAATTTATTTATTTACACACTGTTAAAAATTTTTGTAAAATTACAAATCAGTGTATAGCAATGCTAAATAAAATACAATTCATGTAATTTTCCAACACCCTGTCAGGAAATCTACTAAGATGTATTGTAATTTTACAATCTTCTTGTATAAACCTAACACGCATTGTAATATTACAGAACTGTTCGTCAATTTTCAAGAAAAAGCTTTTTAATTTTGCAAACATTATTTGTAATTTGATTCGGCATAATTGTATGTAAAATCATTAAAAAA